ACCGAAGAGAAATAAAGGTTGGGGGAGTTTAAGGTGGATGGGAAGATCTGGGATTGAGTCCGCTTCTTGGACATGATGATCAAGGGTTTTGAGATTGCTTTTTACGGAGGGTGTCCCGGCATCGAGGTGGGTGGATGATATATATATGCCGGTTTTTTGGTTTAAGGGAGTGGTAACGCGGTTTTGTGGGTGTGTTTTTTTTCAGAAGGCGTCCCCAATGGTGGGAACAAGGAAGACAGTTTTGGGCCGGGCGGGGAGGTTTTGGTTGATTGGGTTCCCACAGAGAACAGGTTAGAGGAGTTTTGGCGGGGAAGAATGGAAGAGAGAGGGTTATTCAAAAAATGTGATTATCTTTCTAACGGTTCTAAGCGGGTCTGCAGTAGAATTTATTGAGAATTAATATTTTATTTGGGTAAAAATATGATAATTTTAACACCATTTGTGTCCGCATTATAAGATGTTCCCAAAAATAAAGGGAAAAAAAAATAGTCATTTTATTTTAAAGAAGACGAAAATCTATTAACTATGTGACACTTTGTTGTAAGAAACCTTCGTAAAGTTAGAAATTTCAGTTATATTGTTATTTTTAAGAAAGAAAAATATAATATGAAGTTGAGGTTAAATCAGGATAGAAGTCCCAAACAATAAAATATTTTTAATTACAGAAATTCTAACTCTTCAGGTTCAATCAAATTGGTAGGGTGCGACTCTCATTAAAATTTAGTTGTTTATATATTTTAGTTTCTTTCCAAAAAAAAAGTGTGATTGATAACATTACAAATTTTTTTTAATACTTTCAAGGCCTAATTAGTATTTATAAAAAAAAAAAAAAAAAGGAAAGGAAGCTACTTAGTAAACATTACAAGATTCGGTTTTTGACATTTTGTGACATAGTGAAAAGCATACCATTGTAACAACTCATGTCGAGACAATAAACTATAGTGAATAATAGTTATTCAGAGTTGAAGTTATTGCTTCTTTAGTACTGTTTCAAGGCTTTATATAATATATGTTTAGACTCTTTATTATTAATTAAAATGATTTTAAAAAAATAAAGATGAAAATATAAAAAAGAAAGGAGGATTATTTCTATGTTTCTATACCCTAAATCTTCCTCTCAATAATTAAAATAATAAAAAAAAACTTTTATTTTCTCTTTTCATTTTTCAATGAGAACTTTAGATTTGGAAATAACAAGTAAAATGATAGTAAATTTCAAGGCGACTTAAATTACTTTTAATGATAATGTATTGTTTGAGGGAAAAGAGGAAAAAGTTGCTACCTGAAAAATGATAATAGATATAAGTAAGATATCATAGAGTGTTCTAACATGTATAATAATAGATACATTATTGTAACTATACCTTTTGGGCCACACATCCAATGAGTCGTTTGGGTGTTAGTCATTGAAATATGAACACAAATGAGACAAAAGGCCCGCAAAAGCATAATAAGTTGAATTACAATGTTCTATTGAGCTATTGACCGAGTTCGCAGAAGATTCAAATAATAAACTTCAAAAAAAAAAAAAAAAAAAAAAAAAAGGGAAAGAAAAACTCAAAGTGTAAGAATTATTCCTTATCATAAAAAAAAAAAAAAAAAAAAAAAAAGGAAAAGAAAAATCAATGTAAAGAATTAATTCTTATCAATAGACTTGGAGACAAGATATTGGTACCACCACCAATAATAGCTAGGCTAAGCATAAATTCGATGGTGATTGGAGAACCATAATGGATGCAATTGCAAGACTTATGTGATATTTTGCTTTTTCTGTAAACTCAATTGGTCAAAAATATAAAAAATTTGATTGAGACATCCAGCGTTTCAGGATTTTTCATACCAAAAATAGATGAGTTTTTATGGCTAGGATCAACAGAATGCAGCACGTGGCTTTATTTAGTGGCTAAAAGCAATATTCTTTACTCCGTTTTGCCTGTCATTTCGAATTTTCTATCCCAATAATATACTATCACGTTGTGTGTGTATATATATAAAATATTTTTTTTTTTCAAAATTAGGAGGTGTAATCTTTTTTTACTATTAAGCATAAATATTTTTTTGTCTTTTTAATAAAATGTACTTTTCTGAAAATTGAATTTGTATTTTTATCAGAAGCTAGATTACTTGGTATCCTAACAAATATCTTATTGATTATATAACAGGTTTTTAATATAATATAATAAAGTTCAAAAACCAAAATGCAACAATATAATTTGATGAAAATAAATTTTATATCTTGAAATTGTGAAAATTTTAAAAGAAAGAAAGAAATTTATCGATTAATTGCTCTTAAATTTGTTTTTTTTTTTTTTTTGAAAACATTTGTTCTTATATTTGTTAAAAAAAACAAAAAGACAAATTAGATGCTTCAATTTTGAGTTTAATTTTGTTAGAATAATGTTGGATTTTTTACCTTTTAGTATTTTTATAAAGAGCCTCTTTTTAACATCAGAGCAATTAATTTATTAATATAACACACTGTATTTAATTTTCTGTGGACCCAACAACAATGCAATAATTTTTTTTAATCACCCAATTGTGAGGATGTCCTTGTCTAGGAAAAATCGTCTAGTCAGCTGTTTTTTTTCAAGTGGGTATGCAAGATTTAAGGGTTCTTGTTTTTTTTTTTTTTTTTTTTTTTTTTTTTTTTTTTTTTTTTTTTTTTTTTTTAAGGGTTTCTTGTTTTTTTTTTTTTTTTTTTTTTTTTTTTTTTTGTTATTTTTTTTTTTTTTTTTTTTTTTTTTTTTTTTTTTGTTATTCTTCTATTTTTAGTACTACTCCATAAAATATAATTTCTTATTTAAGGCAGTGTCGAAAAAAAATTCTGAAAGATAATTAATTAAACCTCTTTCTTATTACTTCTTATGAACCTATTATAAATACAATGTTGAGGAAATAAAATCATTAATAGCAAGAATTACTATGTACATTGTATATTTGGGGCTCACACCATTATTTTGTTTTTCAAAGATTTTGTTGAACCTTTTGCTCTCCTTACATAATATAAAAGAATTTTAAAAAATAAAAGAATTATAAACAGATACTATCAATTTAGTAATATGGCAACCTCAGTTAAAATTAATTCAAAATTAAAAAAATAAATAATATATAGAAGAAGATTAAGAACCCAAGTATAAATGATATATTAGGAAAAACTGCTTAAGCAACCGATCAATTTGTACAAATTTGATTTTTTTTTTTATACGCATAAGCGAACAACTAAAAGTCCTCAACTTATTACTTGCACTTGATATCCTTCCCTCCCTTTCAAGAACAGCTATAGCATTCTATCATACATCATGCAGGTGATTAATTCCTAGAAACAACTCAATTATTTTCTTTATGTATTTTGTATCACATGGAAAAAAAAAAAAAAATTTCTTGAGAAAGTGACAGAAATTTTGATCAAACATTCATAGTTGGTGAATGTTGATTATTTGGTGTGCTTTCACTAGTAGGCTCTACCCTTCTCATCATAAATGAAGGTTTAAGTGATGGATCATCTTCGTCGTCGTAAATATAAGCAAATCCTCCATGCCTAGTCAAGTCCATGCCTGCCATCTCATCTCCACTTGAGATCCTCAACAACCGCAACTTGTTAAGCCCGTAAAATAGTGGGCCCATTGTCACCGTTACCCATCCCGATATCACTAAGATCTGAATGATCTGAGCGGCTAACAGCTTTCCGCCACCACCCATCAGCAATCCATATGGTCGCCCTAGCTTGTTAGGGTATACCTCATTGACATATTTCTTGGTGGCAAACAACCCTGTAAATAGTAGGCCCCATGCCCCGCAGCCGCCGTGTAATTGGGCGGCTTCTAGTGGATCATCGTACTTAAACTTCTCTGCGAGCTTATTACACCCAATTAAAACCCAAGATGCTACAAAGCCACATACGATTGCTGCCCATGGTTCTACCACTGAACACCCGGAGGTGATTGCAGCAAAAATTTCTTGGTGGCAAACAACCCTGTAAATAGTAGGCCCCATGCCCCGCAGCCGCCGTGTAATTGGGCGGCTTCTAGTGGATCATCGTACTTAAACTTCTCTGCGAGCTTATTACACCCAATTAAAACCCAAGATGCTACAAAGCCACATACGATTGCTGCCCATGGTTCTACCACTGAACACCCGGAGGTGATTGCAGCAAAACCCCCTAATAAACCATTACAAACGTCAATTACATTCCAATGACCAACTAATAATCTTTTGCTAAATAATGTTGTAAGTGCAGCTGTGCATCCAGCCAATGTGGTAGTGACAGCTGTCCTTCCTACAGCACTCCATTGACCATAATACCCTTCATTTTCCCCATAACTTTTCAAGATTGTTAAAAATGAACCCGGGTTGAACCCGTACCAACCGAACCATAAGAGGAACGAACCGAGCACGACTAACGAAGCACTGTGGCCACGTAAGGCGACGGATCGACCAGACCGGTCGAACCTGCCTATGCGTGGACCTTCAATAAGAGCACCCCATAAGCCAGCTATACCACCAACCATATGAACCACACCTGAACCAGCAAAGTCAATTGCACCGGACCCGAATAGAAGATTGTTATCAGATTTGGACGCACTGGCCCAACCATCAGCAGACCAAACCCAATGAGAAACTATTGGGTAAACAAAACCAGTTAAAAAAGATGAGTATATCAAGTAAGCAACAAACTGGGTTCTTTCTGCAATAGAGCCACTAGTAATACCAGCAGCAGCTATGGCAAAAGCCCATTGATAAAGAAAGAAGCTGTAGTCACCCAAAGGAGAAGGGAAATCATTTAGACCAAAGAAATGGCGACCGATGAAACCATTACTAGGAGTTCCAAAAGCAAAAGCATAGCCAAAGAGATAGTAAGAGAGACCACCAGCAGCAGCATCAAGGACATTAGTTAGCATTATATTCATGGTGTTCTTTGCCCTAACAGAGCCTGCACAGAGCATCGCAAAACCCAGTTGCATGGCAAAGACTAGGTAGGCAGAGAAGAGGAGATAGGTATTGTTAACTGCATAGGATGTGTCTGAAAGCTGGTTGGATATGGTGGTGAACTTGGAGCAGAGGTAAGCAGCGGCGGCAGTGGAGTTTGTGGTGGTGGAGAGGAGAGGGGCTAGCTCTGAGGCTGAGCAGGTAAAAGAATCCATGGTGGAGAATAAAAAGAGATAAATGGCTATGGAAAAGAGAAGACTTTGGTGTTGATGTATATATAGAAGGAAAAAAGAGAGTAAGACGAAGACAAATATATTTAATCATTTTTAAATTTTTGTTTCTTTCTATCATCATTAAATTTTATTCTAAAAGAATTAACATAGTAGTAAATAAAGTTAAATACAAACATGTATGCATATCCACATACGTACATGTGTATATATATACGTATAAATTGATGCAGAAATGTGCAAAGTCAATGGGTCAATGAGTGTGTGCGACTGTGTAATGTAAAGTGGCCTAGATTTGCAGAAGAAAATGAAGAAGAAGATGGGCATGTGATCAATGTTCTGCTATGAAATTGGAGAAAACAAACAAATGAACTGCACACCGTCACCATAAAAAGGATGGTCCCATTTCGAAGGTAGAGATCAATAGAGCTAATAGACAATAAGAATATATTGGAAATACAGAAAACGAAAAATATTTAATTACTGGTGATTTCTATCCACACAATCAAAAACATGCCATAAAGAAATAAAATTGAAGGTTTAGGAATCTTCTGCAGAATGCCTAATCTCATCGTCTTAACCAGATATATATATAACTGAAATTCTTAAAAAGTAAAGTGATTCCTATTTTGTTAGAGTTGAAATTGTAGTAAATATTTATATTATAAAAATATAAAATAATCACTCAATCATTAAACTATTTATTTAATTGTTTATTATCTAAAAACCATTGTTATATGCTCGATGAAAATTAATTAATTATACATCAATAGGTTTAAGTTGACATCATTAATTTTTGGGGGAAAAAATCTCTCTCTATATATAAATTGATTGACATATATATAAACCCAACTCCAAATTATATTCATCTCAGCAAATATACTGTCATACCTCGTTGCTTGCATAATTTTTCATTAGAATAGTTAACCACTTGCAATTATTGATCAATTATAATGCTAATATATATAAAAATAATGATGCATATGATGGAAACATCTAACAATATATATATTTTTTAATTGGTCCCCATCTCCTAAAAGTCTTCCACCCTGCACGAATGGTAGTTATATAATACAAGCTGGCTAAGATTAGATGAGTAATTAGCCTATTTCTTATACTTAATTTGAAACTAATGACATCATGGACAAGCAACACCAATTCACCAGGAGGAATTATTAGTCATAACTCAGAAACCCTCTCTGTTTTGTTTAAAGACCATGTGACCACAGTAAAATATCAAGGATTTATAACTTTCTCGGAAATCAAACATAGAAATAAGGATAAAATTTGACTAGATGCAATGAATCTCTATGAATGAATATTCAAACTCTATGTAATGACTATAATAATCTATATTACCAATAATTTTCACTTGTAATTAAAGGATTTCAAATAGGTAGTTGATAACTTATATGATAAAGTATCAAGCTTTACCAGACTTGTTCACTTCACAGATCCAAAAGACTAACTGTATGTAATTAAAATATACATGCACACGTATATATGGAAACATTTACTGATAAAGTTGTTGTAATTATATAACTTGTGAAGCAGCGAGTCGTTCAAGATAGAGATGATGCAGTTTTTGATTTCTTAAGTTAAGTTCTTGATTGATTTTATCATATAAAAGATCTGTTAGGAATAAAATAGAAGTTTGACTGATTATAGAATTTCTTAGCATAGTCTTTAACCAGCATCTAGTGGTAGATTCTGAATGCAAGATTCCATTTTTCGAATTCAGATGAAAACAACTTTAATATTTGGCTAGATTGTTATAGCTCAGTGATTGAGTGTTTCCCTTGAAGTGCGGGAGTTCAGGAGTTCAAATCTTCTTTTAAAAATTCTAAATCTATTAAAAAAAATGTTTACATGAAATAGAGGTCATTTGGACATTGAAATATATGGAACTAATGAAGGGAGGGATCATAAAATTAAAGAAATCACAAGCATAGCTTGAAACCATATTCTCCCATTTACTAAACATATCTTCCTGAAGATCATATGTAACATAACAAATGCTCCTACTTGCATATCTCAAATGGATGTTCAATCAAAATTTTGTATAGAAAAACAAATAATACAAGACAAATGATACATGACTAATTGAAAACAGATGATGCAACCTATGGCAATTATATTGATACAAGAGTAAAAAATAAGCAAAGGACATGACCTCTCAGTGAAGTTGGAGGCATCCAAGATATAAAATTCATATAACTGACCTCCCTTAATTATATATTGTTTTGTAAATGAAACAATAGTAGCAATAAGCAACCATAATCACATAATGTATTAAATTTTTTTAAAAAAAGGATCTTACCTCAAGGAAGGTTATGCATCATCACATAGTGACAGCACAAATTATATCATATATCTCTAAATAGATGAGCTTCTCATGGGTTGAGGAATCTGAGTGTTAAATTTAATAAAAAAAATTCATAGAGTCTTAAGAATCTGTGAGTAGCCAAGTTGCCGAAGAGTATTTTAATCTGCAAATCATGCTCTGAAATAAGGGAGATTCAAATTATAATCTGGTTAATTTAAACGAAGATGCCTTACCTGTAATCAAGTTAATTCATCGTCAGATTGGGACAGCAGTATTTAGTAGTAAAACTTCTGACAGAATGCCTCTTCACAAGCTGAAGAATATTAATTACTAAAAAAAGCACGTAAACTCCAAGGTTTTGATGTCACTACAGCTTCTCATTCGTCTCTGTCGCTGCATCAGAAACAATCTTCAAAAGTAGGTAAACTCAGAATAAAAGAATGGTAGGTTAACTAACATGAATATAATCTATTCCTTTCTGCTTAAAATGAAATCATAAGAATCTCAAATATAATCTTTACATATTTCCATTATTGCAAAGAAATCATCAACCACGTTCCTGGTTGTATTATTACTGCACAATGCAATCTAAGCATTAGCTAGCTACTAGCTGCATCTCCCTGCATGATAATTCTATAGGTACCTCGCACCTCTAAAATATGCATACAACAACAAAATAATTAGAATAGTTTAACCATTTATCATCTTCAACCCTTCCATTTATATATATCAAAGCCCTGAACTCCAGCAGGCGCATCTATGCAACAATCTAGCATATCAAACCACATACTTTGTTCTATCAAAAATTATGTTGTCAATAATACTACTCTTCAAATAATTCACATTGATTTCTGTGCCACTTTCCACTAAAGGATAAAATTGGTAACTAACAAAAATACTCCATTTGATAGACTTTTATTAATCTTGGTGTTGGAATGGCAAAGTCAAACTGGAGTATTATTATGGGACAAAGGAGTAATATTTTATCAATAGATAAGTCATAAAGGTCCTAAATCCTAAAAATTTGTGTCAATGTCACTCTGGATTGAAGGTTTGTTCCAAGACAAGATAAATTCCAGCTGAAAATCGCGTACCAAAGATCATACTAATATAAGTACCTTTTCATGCCAAATGACTGTACATATTACAATTATAATTCAGTGTCATACATGAATGGTTTTGTCCCCGTCAAATAACAAAATAAAAGCTACATATACACAACTATAACTTAACTACCGCCTTCTATTGTACAGTTTTTGAAGGCATCCCAACCCAAAACCAGAAAGTGGAGATTACACAATTACGATTTCATAATTTTGTACTTCCATGCTTTCTTGGGTCATTTCCAGACACAAATATACCAGATCCTTCAGGCCATAAGGTGTTATATGACGAAATGATGAGAAGAACCTGTATAACTAAAAGATCGTCAATACTGAACCTAGTGTGCATTGCAGAGGCTCACTTTTCCTCTGACTTGAGTTCTCTTCCAAGCAAAAATAGTCCAACAGAGGTAGAAGCGGACAAAAGTGCTGAACAATAAAAGAGCACAAGTAGAGCTCCTCTTAAAGACTGCATCCAGAAAAGTGTGGTAACTGATTAAGAACTTTAAGGGCAATGAAGGGCAATAAAAATCGAATACAGAATTTTGCAAGAACCTTCGCCAGCAGTAAAGCATTGTCATTTGCATACTGCAATGAACTCTCAGGTATGCTTTGAATGCCCTGACCTAGTTCCCATGAAAGAATCCTATATTTCAGAATGATGTTTAAACATATCAGTCATTTTGTTACAAGATAAAATTTGAAATAAAACTTAAAGGTTAAAATGGAATATTTTTACCCAAAAGCAACTGCAATGGCAGCTCCAATGTTGGCTTTCTCAGCTGTGACTGCAACCTGAAGTTCTCCAAACTGCACACAGGATTGAAATTGTCATTAGTTTTATATTAAACGTACCTCCTTTAGATAATGCCCAACAAAGATGGTTTATTATCTACCTTGAAGACTCTTGTTTCTTTCTTTGGTTCTTCATCTGTTGTTGTTGGTATTGGATTTGCAGACAGAAGTTTCCCAGTTCTAATCATTGCTTGTGCTACCTATAAAGGTTCAGTATGAGAAAAGAACTTGTCCACTAATCATAGCATAGTAACTCCTAAATCTTAAATTATGGATAATAAAAGTGAGCATGGCATATCCCTAATTTGTCTTTGTAGCACCTAATAGGAAGTAAAAGATAATTATTTGTTTGAGGAAAGAGGCTGCAGAGAGAGCAAACAAGATTAAGCTTGGCTATTAAGTAGCCTGCAGGCTAAAACAAAATTGAAAACAGAATAAATTTAACAATCTAAAAGCACTTGCCAAAAGCATGTGACCCTTTCCAAGGAGTTATTTCGAATATTTTTTCTGATGTTCTATCCGAACCATAGGAAGTGGACACCTTCACCAGCAATACATATGTCAAGCAAAAAATCATAGTTATCACAATAAGTGGAGTGCAACAGTAAAATAACAGCTAGTTATAAAGTATCAATAAGTCTGAATAGTTTATGGTATTTGGATGGACATCTTGGTATCATCTAATCAGTAATAACATAGGGGCTGCAAGTTCATTGGTTTAAAATTTAAAGAAACGTTTAGGACGCCGCTCAAAAACTGATGCAAGTTAAGACTATATACACAAGCACTATTAATATTGCTACGGTGAATTATTTGATCCCAAGTAGCAATTTATAATTCCAAGTATTATTTCTCTTTCTAAAGAACACGTTATAGGCATTTCTAAAGAAAGCACCATTCCACCTTTCAAATTACAGAAGTTACCTTCTGCATTTCGCCCTGACCATACTGTCCCATTGATTGGAACCTCCTTCCAGCAGATACCAAACGCTTGCCAAATGCTAAATAGGAAAAAGATAAAATTAGCTACAGAACAAAATCTTTAGCATGTATCTAACATCGATTGTGTAAACATCTATTCTTGCCTGCCTTAGCCTTGCTTGTTAAATTACTCTCCAACATAGGGAGCTTGCTAGCTAAATCACGGGAAGTTGATGTGTCAGCCAATTCCCATGCTCGGGAGAGGTTTAACAGGAGCTCTCCCAGCTCTTGACCACACTGAAAGCAAAACCATAGCTATCAGTCCCTTAGTGGTTTCAAACACAAAATGCTTTTATAATTCGTTCTGGACCACAAATGTTAATCAAAATCTAACAACACTTTATTCCAGTTACCAATCACAACCAACCTCATCAATAACTGGTCCATTTGAAAGATCAAAAGCAGCATCATTTAACTACACAAAATATTCAAAAAGGAAAAGGAATTCTCTCAATTCATGAACACAATGAAAAAATAATTAAAAAAAAGCTAAATTTAACATTAATTCACTCACATCAAGTCGAAGATCACGAGGTAATTGTTTAAAATAATCCGATGGAAGATCAAAACTATCCTACAGTTCATAAAACGAGTTCAATTAACAATGCAGATATATATAAATACAATCATTAACAGGTCTATGCAGCGGCGATTACAGTGAGCTGCTGGAGAAGAGATTGAGAGGATTCGTCAAGAGACTGAGAAGAGTCTGATGATTCCGTGAGAGCAAGCAGTGGAACTGTTAGGCGCTTCGACTGGAGTACTTTTCTGGTTTTGACAGAGATTAAAGAGGGATGATGGCCTGAGTTTTGCGGAAGTGAATGGTTTAGAGAGGAAGAGAGTACGGGAAGACGTTGGAGGAGAAGAAGAGATGTCATTTCTTTTTTCTGCAACTGCAATTTTCATTTTTGGTGGTTTTGACGGTTATTGAATTTTATTTGGATTTTGGATATGGTATGGTTGGGCCCACAAAAGAAAATCATTAGTCTTTTCTTGGAAAATTGTATTTTTATTTTTCATTTTTGTAATAGAAATAATATGTTTCATTTATCAACCCGATAATATTATTTAGTCCCTTCATTTCAAGTATATTTTTAATACCTTTTGTGGGTGAAAATTAAATATGAAAGAAAAAAAGAGGTTGGGCCAAATTTGTTTTGGGCTTTAAACAACAATGTATAATGAAGACTCTTATTCTGGCCTGCTTCCAAGTAACAATTTTTAATAGCTAAGGGATGGGAATGAGATCATAAACACGAGCAGTAGAAGAAGGAAAACAAGAAGAAAGGAGAAAGGGTTTGGAGTTCGGTGCTTGGTGCTTTACAAATTTGTGAAATTATTTTGTGATTTAGGTATTTTTAGTGCAAGAAATATCTCTCGTTTCATATGCTGCTCTGTTTATTCTTGAACAATTTTGTTTTTATTATAATAATTCATTCGTCTCCAAGTTTAAAATTTACAATTTTCATGTTTTATAGCTTCTATATTGGAAGATAAATAAACTAATAAATTGAAATTTATTATCTTCTTTGGCTGTGTCATCTTCAATTGTATTTTCTTTCTGGAGCCAGGAAAATTAATTGGTAACAGATTTTTTGGGCATTTGACTGTGACTGTGTATGGCTTCGTCAACTATTTCTACTAGTGTATTAAGAATTCATTTTTCACTACTATTTTGGAAAATGTCAGTTGATCTTTTCTGGGTTTTCCAAATCATTTGTTTGGAATCAAAATACGAGTTTAGATTTTTCCATTCAATTGGTTTGTGTCAATAGATTGATTTTGGCTTTTTAGATATTATTGCTGATTTTCTTCTGTTTAATCTATCTTTCTTTTTTCAGCATGTCTGGAGAAGAGGAAGAAAACGCTTCTGAGCTCAAAATTGGAGATGGTGAGGACATATATATACGTTTTAATTTTTGAAGGGAAGAACATGAAAGGGAAATAGGAATTTAACAATAAGGAAGCATTGTGAATGAGATTGAGATGTTGTGTATGGGACTAACTGATAATAGGGTAATTTCAAAGGAGTAATTATGTATTGCAGTTACATATAAAATAAATAAATTATGCACATTAAATTGTTAAATCATTTATACAGGCATTGTTAAATAAGATTAAATGTTTCTATACACTAGTAGGATCCTCAAAGTGAAACTGGAATAACAATTGAACCAACTGTGATTGATATGTAAAAAATTAATTGAACGTTGAATATCAGACAAAATAGATAATCACTTCAAGCTAAATTAATCGAAATTTTTTATTTTGCACTATGTACTCATCATCACAACCTTGGAAAAAGCAAAGCTTTACGAGTTATAGGTGTTTTGTGCCATTATGAGAAAGTTATTTTTGGTTTTTGAGTATTGAGCTTTTGATTTTAGTTCAATTTGTTTGGGTTGATTACTTGAGGTGCTGTTTTGACACTCCTATGATGATGGATTTTGCCCTCCTTTTCCCAGAGTTTTTGAAGGCCAAGTGCTTGATGAACTGTGAAGTAGCATTAATTCTTGAACATAAATATGAACAGCTTCAGCAGATGTCAGACGATCCAATGAACCAAGTCTCTCAGTAAGTAAAAGATGGCTTATTCACTGGTGCAGTTTTCAGGGTATTATTTATACATTCAGAAAATTGGCTCAAGTCTACCTAATGGATTAGGCTTGCTAACAGAAAACAGTTGCAGAGTTGCATTTTCAAGCTTACAACTGTGGTTGTCTTAATGATACCATCTCTATACTACTGGCTTGCGTTACTCAACATTATTTTTCTTGCCAAATGAGGTGAAAATTGTGTTCTTTTTTCAGGGTATTTGAGAAGTCCCTGCAGTACGTGAAGCGCTTCAGCCGATATAAAAATCCTGATGCTGTCAGACAAGTTCGAGAGTATCCATGAACTTTGTTGAAATGATAACAGATCCCTAACAAATCTAACTAGGTCATTTTGTTTATGCTTTGTTAGAAATGATCTTTCTTCATATCATGCATCTGTTATGTCTTACCTAATGTACTAAATTGACTTTGCATGAGAAAAACGGTGTTAATGACCAAAGTTTTTGATAAAAAGCGAGCCTGTCTTTTAGTTTTCTTGTTTTGTTCGGTTCCCTTTGTTAGTTATCATATGAATATTAATAAAATGTGAAACTTAACCAATTCACAGAATTCTTAGCCGATACCAATTGGCTGAATTTGAGGTAAAGTGTAACCCTCTAACAGAAATTGGGAAGTTTGATCTGAAAGTTATAAACTATTAATCTTTGCTAAATATTGTGCAGCTATGTGTTCTTGGCAATCTTTGCCCTGAAACTGTGGAGGAAGCTATTGCTATGGTTCCTTCTATCAAGGTATACTTGATAAAAATCCTGGCCTCCTGAGCCTGTTGTTTAGCTTGATTCTGTGGTTTTAATAGAATAGATATTTCTGGGCACAAATAATATATGTCACAAGATGCATGCATCTTGTTTAGTTGCTAGCATGGCAAATAAGTGAAGCCCAACCGCACCATTATCTCTGCTATAATGGCTTCATATTACAAAAGGATAAAATCATCTCTCTACTTTTGGGATCTCCATATTAGCTATTTATTTACCATGTCATTTCTTGCAATGCTTATTAATGGAATGTGTTTGTTATGCAGACAAAAGGACGGGCTCATGATGATGAGGCAATTGAAAAAATGCTGAATGATCTGTCATTGATCAAGAAATTTGAATAGCAGCTACAATATCTTATTTTGATGGGAATTCATGATGCGTTCATGGAGAGATGTTTAACAGCATCTAAATCTAAAAATCAAGCATACCAAATGATTCGTACATCCATTGGTATGACTATGGAATCATGTATGAATTATAAGTTCTGATACTATTGCAGAAAGAAAATGATATTAGTTAGTAATTTTAGAAATGTGCTGAGGTTGTATTTATTTCTTTTTGTATTTTCTTTATCGTTGTTTTATGATGTATGATAATAACAGAGTCGATTTCGATTGCATCAGATATTTTCACAAATGCTGTTCACCAATGTTAAATAATCAGGCTAGGGTTTGTTTAAATGTCATGTCGTAGAGCTATTAATGACGAGTTGTTTAAACAAGAAGTTTGCCCCAAGGCTGAAGATAAAAAACAAGCATTGTTTGATGAGTCCTTAGCTGTCACCCCGTAGGCCAAGCATTTTTTAGCAACAGAAAAACCATAAAATGACCAATCTAATCTTAAAACCATTTTCTGCGAGATTGAAATTTGGACTGATCTTCCTGATTTCAGACCATTTCAAGACCGGAATTCGCAAGCAAGTTTCAATCCTAGCTTCTTTTGGTCTGATTACGACTAAATTGTAAAATCTGAACATTTGAGGATGTTTACTCTGCAATTCCACAAACATACAGTTGATTTAACAGTGAATCCGCTGTATTAATAACAAAAGTACATGAAATGAAACAAATGAACTAAATTAGGAATCATTAGTTAATTGCTCTGTTTATAACTCTAGTTCACTACTATCATACTAAGAGAACACTAAAAGAGAGGAAATCACACAACCTATGGTTGACATGGCATTTGGAATTAGTCCCAAGTACAAGGTGCAACAATGGCAACAACCAAAGTCAAATCTCAAATCAATTATAAAGAGTAATATATAATCCCCTAACTAATACGGAACTCGAGGTGCACTTCCTCTGTAAAATTTCAGGAAGAAGCACATTTGAGAATTTCTTTTTGCATAATTTTGTTTTTAGGTAATGTTAACTTCCAACTTTCGCGACCTTTCTTTGCTCAATTTGGCCAGTCAATGGGCATTGCATCTCTGTCCAGCTAATGGGAACCATTGTGGCACCTACAGCAAACACCAAAAAAACAAACAAATTCATCTGTTATACAAAGCAGATAATGTGCTAGAGAATGTTTCAAGCCAAAATAACCCACCGAAAAAACTGTTATAACATTTAAAAAAGCACGGCCAATGCAGACTTGGTTCTCTTCCTTAACCACTATGACAGTTGCAGAATCAGAGAATTTTCCCCTTTTAGAAGCATTGGGTCTAGGTGTTGAATGTCTATATAATAATAGATACAATTTTTTACTAGATAGTAGTTTTTTCTTCTGTTTTCTTCATATTATATAATTTTTAAAAAAATTGAAATGAAGCAAAAACCTACAAAATCAACACATTTTAAAGATTACACATTATCAACGATTCCTTTTTCATACAAATAAGTATAATTTGCATTTTATTCAAACAAGTAACTAGTACTGTTGAAATAATCCTAAATCTGTGAGTAGAATTTCAGAAAAAAATTTAGGACTTCCAAGTTGAAGAACCAACATAAAAATCAAAAATTGAAGACTGACAAGACTCTGAAACCCATTTTGAGTCTTTTCTTTACCAATTTCAATATGGAAATTATTCAGTACAGAGTCTTGTAGAGTTTAAAAAAAAAAAAAAAATACAAAAAAGTAAAACCCAAGTTAGAACAAACAAGTTTACCTGCTGTGCTATCTGCAGATACAACACCTAACTCATTCTTTGCAGTAGAAAGATAATAAGCCCGTGCATCCCCAATAGACAACTGGTTAGGGCATTGTGTCAAGAAAATTCAGTAATAACTTAACTTTAAATGTTGAGGCAAATAACAAACTGATGTACTTTCAAATAAGCATGCATTCAAGAACAATCATAAAAAGTGCGCTCAAATTCACGACTTTACATGAGTTTATCATCAATTAGCTTTCAAAGTGATCACATCTAATACTGCCATTAGTATAAATGCATTGATACATATCTCAAAACAATATAAAAAACTACAAGAACAAAGGATACCACTAGAGCTTTGACAATGTCGCCAGGGCGAAATGATAAATGCATATCCACTTTGTCAATCTCAGTTGCCCTTACATCTTGTTGCCTGTTAAAGTAAAGACTTTAAGTTACACACAATCAATTTCCTAAAATATGCCTGCCATGCTAACACTGACGAAGTGGCTGTTAGGTGAAAAAGAAGACTGGATGATGCAATCATTCTACTCTCTAAAGAGAATGAAGATTGCTAAAAGATCTGCAGTTTAAATTGCAGTTTTTATTTGCAAAATTTGCTAACTACACATGAATGAGATAGTGCTTCATTTAAGAGACAAAACTAAATTAGTACCTAATAATGCCAGTGAACTTTTCTCGTACAGACTTGGAACCAACACACATAATATCAGCTGAAGCCATTTTAGCCATCACTTTAGTAACCTATCCAAATCAAAAGACCAAAATAAGATCTACTTATTTCTAAACAAACCTCATAAACAATAAAAGAGCAGCAGCTTTCATACAAGGCAGATGAATTTCATTGAAGCAATTAAACATCAGGACCAAGGATGTAGAATATTAAAAGCGGAAAAAAAAAAAAAATCAAACCACATAGAAGATGCTGAACAGTCAAAAGAAAGGTAGAAACTCAGATATATAGTTATTTTAAGATGACAATAACGGATATGTCCACTGCAAGCCAAAACAGAAATGAGACTCAAATAGGTCAATGAAGAAATAGAAGAGCAAAAATATAATAAAAGCCAAATACAAAAGCCCCAAAAGACTAGCCAGATAACCAGTTTAGATGCCAAAGAAAAATAATATAAAAGAGTAACGGAAAAAAAAAAAACGATCAATGAGAAACTCACTCGGGCAAGAACAACAGAACCAGGCTCTGGAACAGCACCGTGAGCCTTGTGTCCAACTACTTCCACAGTTGGTCTCTGAAATGATAAGAATCATCATTACAATAATAAGGCAAAACACACCCAGACATACAAGATATGCACTTGAGCAAAATTAAAAGTATAAAGTTCAAAAACTTGCGAATCTGTGTCTGCTTCCACATCAGCTAAATGTGCCATAAAACAGAGTATCCAACATTAACCCTTGCATCAATCTATACAGCCCTCCAGAAAAACCAGTTAAGTGCATTATCACATTCAGAACAATAAGGCAAGGTCAAGGCACAAACTTTGCTTCCATTTCATTAAATTATTGATGAAATAACTAGCCCAGTTCAACTTCTCAACATCCCAAATACGAACTTTGCTTTATTTCTACATTTCTAGATGTCCTAAGCAATGAACAAATAACCAAAACCCTAAATCTTTTCTTAATAATTACAAATTTTTTCCTTCCCGACTTTTCTCTTTCCCACGCCAATCAAAATAATTCAATTTCTCATCTCTCTATTGCATTATGTAAAAGAGCAACTGAAATAAACCCTAAGAAAAGCCCTAGAACCTGTTCGGGAGAGTCGGGGGAAGGTGATAGACTGCGGCGGAAACCAGTAAGGGAAGAATAGACATACAGGATGTCAGTGTTGCGATAAGGTGCCACGTAAGCACCTTTGCCTGGTTTGAGTTCACTTGCTTTACCTAACACCTCTCCTGGTGTTACCATCTCTTCTTTCTCTCCTTGCATTCCTTTCCCGTATTCCATCTCTCTCTGTTTCTGGGTTTCTCCTAAGATAGGCGCTGCAGTTGCCATCAAAGTTGTCTAAAATTCTCGTAAAGAAAGATAAAAAAAAAAGAAAAAGAAAAGGACCAGTAAATTTCCAAGGAAAATTACTATTACATCCCTTCTAAATCACTTGTTTAAAAATATACTACTTGTAACCCCTGATGTTTGATTTCGTCGACTATTTAATCCCTCAGTAAGTTGACTGGATTTTTTTACACGCCAATCAAAATAACTTCAATTCTCATCTCTTATTGCAATTAATGTAAAAGGAGCAACGAAAATTAAACCTAAGAAAAGCCCTAGAACCTGTTCGGGAGAGTCGGGGAAAGGTGATTTAGACTGCGGCGGAAACAAGTCAGGAAGAATAGACATAACAGGATGTCAGGTGTTGCGGATAAGGTGCACGTAAGCACCCTTTGCCTGGTTTGATTCACTTGCTTTACCTAACACCTCTCCTGGTGTTACCATCTCTTCTTTCTCTCCTTGCATTCCTTTCCCGTATCCATCTCTCTCATGTTTTCTGGGGTTTTCTCCTTAAGATAGGCGCTTGCCAGTTGCCATCAAAGTGTCTAAAAATTCCGTAAAGAAAGATTAAAAAAAAAAGAAAAAGAAAGGACCAGTAATTTTCAAGGGAAAGATACTATTACATCCCTTTCTAAAATCAACTTGTTTATAAAATATACTAACTTGTTAACCCCTGCATGTTTGTGATTTCGCGACTATTTAATCCCTCAGTAAGTTGACTGGATTTTTTACAGTTAAATGTCCTGTGAAACAAAGTGAAAACAGTGAGGTATATTTTCGTTTGGTTCACATGGACATTTAAACAAAAAAAAAAAAAAAAAAAAATTACAAAAAAAAAAAAAAAAAAAAAAAAAATTACAAAAAAGTAAATTAAAAAGTTATTTTCTCCACCGGAAGTAAATATTAGAAATGAATTATTTCTAAAAAAAACAAGGATGGAATGATTATTTGGCATAAAATGGTGAGCAATAGTAATTTTTCAAATATCTATTGAGTCCAGTTGTCGTGTCCTTTTAATTAAACATTATAAAAATTAAGATTATCTAACAATAATGATTTGTTGCATAGGGATTTACTTATCATGACCCGGGTCAATGATCTCTTCTAAAGATTAAATCAATAAAAATAAAATTTTTGTTAAAAATATGATTTTATTTATGATACACTGATTTGGTCTAAGTAAATACTTTCATGTCGGAGACACGTACTTAAAAAATATAGATGAATTATTAATTAAATAAAAGAAATGAAAAAGGATAACACAGACACTTTCACACTTAATTACTCATGTAATATTTGGTAAAAAAAAGCATAGTACAATATGAAAGAGTTGAAAAGGGCTCATTTCTTAATTAGCCTTTCAACTTTATTTCCATCACATAAAAACACTCACTCCATTCACTTGCCTTGATGACTAAGAAGGTATACAAAATCAGCATTATCATCAGGAGTAAATTTTGAACCTTTACTCCAATACTGACATCCAGTCCCATCTCTAGATGAAGACTGATAAGCAATACAAGTGCAATTTCCCCAACATTTGGCATGACAATCACTAACACCCAAACTCAAATCAGAATCATAATAAAAGAACCTCTCATCATTCTCAACATATGCTCTCTTTGGCACAAACACATCCAGATCATTCCTGCACTTGTTAGGCTTTTCTGTTAAACAAACTGCAGATGAATTAAACCCGTTCTGGCACGGTCCGACAGATTCGAATATCCAAGTACTATAATCACCTCTCTTATCCAAAGTGAAAACTTCAATTTCACCAATTGTGTCGAAACTCCATCTAGATAAAACTGACTTGTTTTTAACAGAATAGGAGAAGTACTTCTCATCCTCATTTTCAAAAAACCTGAAGTCATAAATATCATTTCTTTTAGTCAGTTGAGGTGCTAATTCAAAGCTCCCATTTACCCAAACCCCACTTGACCAATAACGACTATCTCGCCTCCAAATAATTAGCTGGTTAGCTCCATTTGGGTCTAACCCAAGCCTGAAGGCTCCAGGAGAAGGATTTTTTTCACTTAACCAAGATGTAAGTGTCCAATTCTTACCAGTCTTTAAATTCATTCCTAATTTCATTCCAGGCAAGAATATATTATGTGGGTAATCAAAACTCTGCCAAATAACAGATCCTGTAAAGCCGTCAGAATTAACCTGTCGAACAACTAGATTTCCTGAATCTAGCAGAGTAACAGTAAAATTGCCACCTGATATATTCTTTTCAGCCATATCAGGATTTATAACTATCAGCCCACCTTGTTGGAATGTAATTTTTAATTTGCCATCTTTATCAATGGTTAAAGCTCCTGATGAATCAGGAACTGGGTTTTGGCGGTTGGCTACCCAGACTGAGTAATATGGTATTTGGTTAAACCATATTCCCAAATGGCGAGGACCTGAAGGACCAAGATCAGGTGAATATCCTGGGTTTGGGTTAAAGAATCCTAGCTTGAAGACCCCTCCAGCAGAAATTAGCTGCTCCCAGTCGCGAAGCTGCTCGCCTTGTCTGAGTGTATCAGTTTCAGCATTGGAAATGTAGTTCAAAGAAAGAAAGATAAAAATGAAAGCACTGAGAATGAAACTCGCATAAGCCATGATATAAATATGTAGTACTAAATGGTCTCCTTTCTTGATTATGTGAAAGCTTCTGTATTTATAACCACAATTTCATAGTGCCCACTTAAATAGCAATCGGAAGTCAACATTTACCAGTTGAATAATCAGCTACTTCTTGGAATAAAACCCATTTTTTGAACACTAAAATTTATAATGATGTTTTAGTTCTTCATTTGTGGATACACTATCATTTCACAACTAAATGCAAATGCTAGATCAAATGAATTTTGCTCCCTCCAAAAATGATTAAATCTCTTCAATTCTGAAAAAAAAAAAAAAAAAAAAAATTAAATCTCTCAATTCTGAAAAAAAAAAAAAAAAAAAAAAAAGATAATGAACAGAGTACTATTATAAACCGAGGTCCAAGACAAAAAGTGATTTAAAAGTTTATTTTGAGATGATATTGATGTATGTTCGTGGTCATGGATGTTGGAAATTAAGGTCCTACAGCTAGGTGATTTTTCCATGTATCATTGACTAATTGCAATTAAGGATTAGGAAGACCAAAGAATTCCGGTTGTTGACATTGAAAAGTAAACTATTGTGTACGTTAACGCAATTCTGGAAGTAGAGTTCCAATTCATCAGGTTGAAACTTATTTATGGTTTATTTACAATTTAGATTTCAAGGTAAATATTAGAGGAAGTTAGGGCTTTAGACTCCCATAACCCTGTTTTGTTTCAAACAAATTCTAAGCTAATAAGGGATTTGGCGTAATTACTGTCATTTTTATAAGTTTTCCTTCGAATTTCAATTTTTTTAATATAAAAGGAAAAAAAAAAAAAAAAAAAAAAAAAAAAAAAAAAAAAAGAAGTTTATGAATGGTGGGTAGCACAATCAATTGAATATGCGAATATGAGTTTCCCCTTATAGTCAGAGTCCAAAACTCACGTGGAAAAAAAAAAAAAAAAAAAAAAAAAAAGAAGTTATGAATGGTGGGTAGCCATCAATCAATTGATATGCGAATTGAAGTTTCCCCTTATAGTCAGAGTCCAAACTCACGTGGAATAGAGATTAGACTAAAGATCCAACCTTCATCGCCCCATGCTCAAGTGGTTGGACTAAGCCTATTGGGAGTAGTACCCAAGTTTGAATATTGGATCATATATCATATCTTTCCAATCTACGGTAATTGAACAAAAACATTGAACAAAAACAAAATTTTCAAATACTGCAGTATAACTTTCTACTGATTTCCAACATTACAAGTGAAAGAAAATCATTTTCTCTGATAAATCATTTTCTGCAAAATAAATGAACTAAAATTTGAAATGAGTAACCAATTCAAATTACTTGCAGTTCATTATTAATTAGCCAACACTGCTAAGCAAACTTGTGAGAATTGGGAAAGCTGATCTTGCAACTACATTGAATGGCATTGAATATGATGCTTCCCTTGGCTCATCTGCCATCCTGCATTGATTTCCTCACCTATTGACCTGCCTACAGAAACCTTTTTATATCTCATTACCAAATTAAATTATTTTTTTCACTGTGATTAACCATTAGCTTCTACTATAAAAATTTGATCTAGTTCATCCAGCGGACTCTATGTATGAATCTCTTTCATATAAATATTGTTAAAATCATGGTAATATTTTATCTTCTGGGAAAGAGATGCTGACTTAAATAGAATAAATCGGGTTTTTAGGTTAACAGACCGCGATTGAGTCGCTGTCAATCCGGGACCAAACTGCCATGGTCTGCAAGAAGAGAAGCTTTATATCAATAGAAGGAATGACATAAATTTGAAGACATAAACTAAACTTCCTGTTATAAGAAGCTAGAAAAACAAGAAATTGCCGTTACACATGCATTACAAAGCAGCTAGTAATAAATCCAAAACATTGCTATTTCCATCCATGTTTATGCTATGTTTTTTGTCTACATTCTTTAGAACTCAATGGACACATTCTTTCCTTTCTCACAGAAACAAAAATTTGACTGAGCTAGCAAAAACAAGAATGGAAATAGCACAACTATAATTACATATTAAAGAATTATAATAAAAGACGATGATGATTTGTGATCTTAAGGGCACAGAGGATTATTCCCCGGGCCACCATAGTAAAAATATGTTCCCCATTGATTATTGTAGGAGTTCTTGATGTTGTAACAGTTTGTGTTCTCAGCTAGGATTGATATATCTTGGGCTGAGCTAAGGCTGTTATCGGAGTCGACGATCTCCAGGTTTCTAAAATAGCTTGCTTTTCCGAACCCCTCTTCCGCAAAGTGGCCGGAGCCCATCTGAGTCGAAGTGTGCCGGCCGTTGGCTCTTGAATTCACCACTTCACCACCCCACTCCACCATGGTGGCATGGTTAGCTAAGTGTGTAAATAGCTCTGCTGGCCAATATCCTACTAGGGTATTGTCACCAAATCCCATCCACCAATTTCCTAATTTGGGGTCCTAATTAATAATTTCACGAAAGAAAGGACTAAATTAAAATTTTTGTATCCATAAGTTGATTGCATATGTTTCGTACGCCATAATAGAATGTAATGAAAAGCATTTCTAATTCATTTATTTTTATGTTTCACCTTCCAAATGAGGATAGTAATATCAAATTGATTGCCTTCAAATGACGATACAGGAGAAATTGCAGCTCCAATGGCTATTCTACTATTTGTTTGCACGAATCCTGCACATAGAAGATTGTAGCATCCTGTTGCTTGGTATGAATCACTCTGCAAAACGAAAATAGATTTATGGATGAAATCAAATATGCGGTATATATAGATAAAAATATTCGCTTATCGGGAAAAAATCAATATATTTTATAAAGTTAAATAAATTTAGAGAAAGAGAAGTATTATTTTTTTAATATTTAAATCTAAACAATTAGTTTCTTGTAATTAATTTAGGGGGAAAATGTCCAATTTTGCATATAATGACTAAAATGATGGATACCTATATTCTGATAAGGCTGTTCTTTAGAGTACATGTTAATGCATCAATTTGCAAGCAAGAAATGAAATTATTATACAGTCCCCACAACACCCACCACATTAATCATCATATTAATCACTGTACTTCAAAAGGGACTTTTTGGGAAAGCCCATGCTTCTTTTTTGTTACCATTGTAGATTAGATTTTACTTTGGTGACATTCAAACTGACATTAAATTTATTTATAGGTTAGGATTATATTTGAAAAATATTAAAAAATTTTCAAAGCTGCAATCCACAATTTTCTTTATAAATTGAACTAATCATTTTCTAGATAATCTTAAATTTACCCTCAGACTAAATTATGGACTTATAGACTTGCAAAAATTTAATTAATATAGTTATAATAATTATAATTTTTACTTTTTTTTTTTTACTAATATACCCTTATGTAAAGACTAGACAAAGCTAGCAAAGCCCCCGTACATGCCCTAGAAATTTACCTAAGCAAATACTATGTAAAATCCTCAAGCCCACACCCTAAAATTGACTCGTAGGAGTTTAGTAGGAATCATACCCTTTGATGGGCACTGAAACTTACTTATGAAAAGCTATGAAAAGTGCATTGCAATAATTAGTTGTATCCTATTATTTTGCCCTTGGGTGCTATAATTAAAGACTAGAGCCAAAATGGGTTAACTTCACTTTACCTCATTGTTTTATGAAAGATTCATAAATTTTTGAGTAACTTTTGTTGGGGAAATTGGAAATGGTTAGGATATAGTCTTATCAAATTATGCTTAAGGTTTATTCTTTCAACAATAATTTTTTAAGCAACTTTTAGTATTTTGATCGATCAAAACGCTAAAAGCTATTTTTTTATAGTGTTTGATAACATAATATTTGAACTAATTTTTAGATATTAATACAGCATTTTATAAAAGGTTAACCCAGTAACGTTTAGTTTGAACTATTTTATGAAATGCTACTCAAAAAACTAAATTTACTAAAACAGCTAACAGTTATTAAAACATGAGCCAACTTTAATTTTCATTCTTGATTCCAAACTAATTATTTTTTAATTTTAATGTTGGGAAGTTCTAGTGAGGGCTTTGATGTAATTGTATTATAGTTAAAATTATTTTCTAATTTATTGGAAATTGGAGCAAACTCATAGATAACTGATAACATACAACTTACAAGAGAATTCCAAACCTATGAGAAGTTGACTTTGACCTTATGCCCTCTAATTAGGGAAATCAAAATAGGTATCAAGAAATGGAAGCAACTAGCACATGATTATTCCAAAGAATAATTCCACTGTGTTAAAATATAAATATAATCATATATTTTTAAATTAAATTTTATTTTATATACTTAATTAATTGCAATTTAAGGTATTAATTTAATAACAAAAATAATAAATTAAGCAAGAGAGATCTTACTGTCCAATAAGTAAACAATCTGGGCCTGCTGTCACCATAAAGCTCCGGACTGACCTGACTAGTAGAATAATCACAACTTCAGAAAATCCCACTAATAAATTATATTAATTAATAAATATCTGTCTTAAAAATATATTTAAATTTAAATACCTCATTTATCTCATTTTGTTTACAGAGTTTTGATAAAATACGTATATTAAAATTTTAGTTAATAAAAGTTATTTTGCCTTTTTTACTTTTAACTCATTAAGATATTAATAAAAAGACTTTTATTTAATGAATGATCATAAATGTTATAATGAAAAAACTAATTATTTATATGCATAAATTTAGAAATTTTATAAATATTTTAAAATATTTAAAAAATAATAATAAATAAACAAAACGGAACAGAGGAAGTAATGTTTATTAACCTATTCCTTTCAAGAAATTAGTATAAAAAACTCCAAAATAATATCTTGTAACTTGTAAGAATCTTTGATTTTGATAAAAAATAATTAATTGTTTATTAGCATAAATTAATTTATAATTATGATTGTGATTAAAAAATAGGGAGAGTATGGGATTGTGTGCATGCAAGGACAGGAAATGGAAGAGGTACCTGCCATCCAGCTTCTATGCTGTTGAGATCTGAGCCGTCGAATGATCCCGATAGAACCCAGATCTGAGAGAGGCTAAACTCGTTGACCACTTGGATCGAAGGGTCCCACACGCTTATAGTTGCTTTGGCGCCGTACACTTCCTGTGATGTTCCAGTATATGCGATCGCATGCTACGAAATATGCACACATCAAGCTCTTGTATTTATTGATAAAAATGAACAGTCAAAGATAATACATAAATGTAACACGAGTTCCAAGGATTAAAATATTTGTGGGCCCCATTTAGGAAAACTATTTATCGAACGGCTAGGATATTGTGGAGTTAAATAGATATAGAATCTGACTTCATTGCATATAATTCTCAGTTGCAGAAGAACATGATTGAAATGAAAATGAATTAATTTCTTGCGGTATCAAAATGAACTAATTCATTTCTTCAAAGTTAAGGCTTATTTATGACTTTATATATGCAGTCAACATTTATTTAGTGATTGTTTTCCCACTATTTAATACTTTGTTCTATTTTATTAAATTTGACAGTTTTCGACTTTATACAATAATCAAGAAAATAATCGAACAACCTTGATTCAATGGAGAAAAAATTAAATAAATAAAATGATATATAATAATTTTTATTTTGACAAAAAGACTGTTAATAGAGTGAACATCTAGTCAATTCGATTTAAATCAAAATAAATGAGTGAAAATTGAATAAATTAATTTTTTTAAAAATAAAATTGAATCCAACTAAATATAGTTTGTAGAACTAAATTAAATTATTTTAGTTTAATTTTTATTCAAATTTAAACTTATTTTTTTAATTGTAAACAAATTAAAAAAATGAATAAAATATAATAATAATTAAATCAAATCAAATTGATTTCTCAACCCTAGCTTTTAATGTTAAAGATTGCAAAGTTAGAAAGAAGGGGAGATCAGAAAAGGAAAGCACACCTCATGACCATTCCCACTAACAACATCAGGCGCATCGGAGCGTCGAGCAAGAGATATAGATCGTTGTTTTTTCCCAAAGTCAAACAAAGACTTTGATCTCAGAACGTCATGAACTGTACTCCGCCGTATTGGAACAGTACCTTTAGGGCACCTAGTCCCATTTTTATGCCACATTTGCCATGCACCTTTCTCTCCTTCATTCTTCACTGTCTTTGGCTCTCTCATCTCATCTTCTTTAATTACTTTCAATTTAGGCATTTCTGATGGAACTCTCTAATTAAATCATCATGAAAAAATATTAATTAGTTAATTAATTATATAAATTAATTTATATAATATAAAGAGAGAGAGAGAGTCTACTTTACTCTTAAGTTTTATAAATTATTATTATTATTAATAATTATAAATAGGTACACCCTTTTTGGAGGAAAAGACAGTGACAAATAAATGAAGCCAAACAAACCCTTTTCACTGGAGTTAACAAATATCACATATCATTTGCAGAAAGCAAGAAATGAAAAGTAATTATTTCTAATTGACAAAACCTAGCTAAGAGGGGCTAAATATTTATATTATCTAAATAAGGGATCTTCCATATATTATTTCAAAATTAAAAAGTTGATGAAATTTTAAATATAGTCTAAAGAAATTAATCAACAAAAGATTTTTAAGAAAAAGAGAGAGAAATATTCTTGAATTTATGTGTGTTTTTAAGGGTTGGTACCTGAATCTTGTGATTCTTTAAAAGAGGGTGGTCTAAAGCTGGTTGTCTTCTTTTATGAACACAATCTATGATATCTCCATCTGGGCTCTGAAATACAACAAAAAGAAACCATATAAGATATATAAAGCAAAGAATCCAATACATATACATATATATATATATATATAAATAGTGTAGTCTTAAAGAAATATTTAATCAACAAAAGATTTTTAGAAAAAAAAGAAGAGAGAAATATTCTTGAATTTATGTGTGTTTTTTAAGGTCGGTACCTGAATCTTGTTGATTCTTTTAAAAGGAGGGGTGGTCTAAAGTTTGGTTGTCTTCTTTTATGAACACAATTCTATGATATCTCCATCTGGGGCTCTGAAGAATACAACCCAAAAAAAGAAAACCATTATAAGAATTATAAAGCAAAGAATCCAATACATTATTACATATATTATATATATATATATATATATATATATATGCAAAGCTATGTATATGCATACCTCTATGATCATAACAGGAGGCTTGTTAATCTTGTCCAAGTGCCTCTGAATCCTTTCAAGTCTCAAGCTACTTACTGGTCTATAATTTGTGTAGTTTAAACCGCAAACAACACTTAAATTTTCCAAGAAAAGAAGAGGAGCAAGAAAAAGAAGAGCGATAGCTTGAAACCTTCTCTTTCTTGCTGTAAAACCCATTTTTCATTCAGTCTCTAGAAAGTTATCTGAGAAAAGGGGAAAATGAACATAAAGGAAGAAAGAAACTAAGGCACCATTGCTAGCAAAAAACAGTACAGAACAAGAGAAAAAAAAATCTGACTTCTTTCTTCTTGATATCACTACAGCACCAAAAACCCAAGAAAATGACTCCTTTCTCTCTCTTTTTCTTGATTTAATGGTAGGAAAGGAAGGTGGGTGAAGAGAGTTTAATTAAACCTGCAGGAAGGCCCCCATTAAAGAAATTTACTATCAAGATCATCATAATTTCCTGTTGCATTGGATTCATATAATATATATAACAGTGAAGAGAAGTTTTAAATTTCTTTTTGTTCCTTTGGAATTGCACCCAAAGGCTAATAGAGAGAAAGGGAGAACAAAAAAAAAAAAAAAAACTTCAAAGCACTATAAAAACCCAAACCTACCCAACTATACAACTCCCCTTTTATTACACTCCTTCAATGTCGTATCTGCCACCATATAACTTTGCCATTAATATATTTTTTATTTTTCATTTTTTATTTTTGGTTTTTATATATAGCTAAGCTTTAGCTAGCTTTCTTTCCTTCTCAGACTTTCCATTCCTTTTTTAACCTTTTTTAAACTCCAAGTAGCACTCAATTGGTATGCTTTCTATGCTTTGGTGTTGCCACATGGCATGTCTTTCACTTTTTCTTATCTCTCTTTACCTAATTACTTCCATTTGCTATTCGAATATGATATGTTACCCTCTCTTTCAACATGAAATTTAATTTTTAGATTACATTTTAAATCTTTATTTTATGGTTTGGATCTTGTTAGATATGGTAATAAATAATAAGATACACAAATGCGACGTTGCTTCTTTTTGTTTAAAAAATTCTGAATTTTTTTTCTCAACTTTTAGTTTCGGAATTAATGATTTATTATATGTCATCCGATCGGATAAATAAATATAATACGATATGTAAAAATTAAAGATTTTGATCGGAAAAATAAATTTAATATTATGTACGGAAATTTATCCATAACCCCATATTTCACAACAAAACAAAAAGAAAATTCCCTTTTAACTTAATTAAATGACATAATCCAATTTGAGAATTTCTAATGAAAGCAAAATAGAATTTATCCAATTGGAATACACAAATATTTCTTTGACACATCATACATTTAATATGTGTGTGTAAAAAGAAAGATAAAAGAAAAGAAAATGATAGATAAAATCCACTATTAGAAGACATAAAAAAACCAAGAATTATTATTATTTTTTTTTTGAAAAGAACCAAGAAATTAATAATTGGATTGTTTTTTACAAAAAAAAAAAAAAAAAAAAAAAAAAAAAAAAAAAAAAAAAAAAAAAAAAAAAAAAAAAAGAATTAAAATTAGTTTGGACTTTGGGGTGGATGAAACACAAGAAGAGAGCTTTCTATGGTTTGTTTAGAGTATAGGGTTTCAAGAAATCCTTAATGTAAGCTACAAATGCACTCCTCTCCATATGGGCATTTGGATTTTAGAGAAATAATTAAATGATTAATGTAATAGAACTAATAAATGAAGAGAGCAAATAAATATTATTAAATTAAACTTTGCCATAAGCTTCTATTCTCGAATTTCGAATTCCTCTTCCGTCAGCATATTGAAGAGAAAAATTTTCTTGTCAGCATCTTTAACTCTCAAACCTCAAACTTTTGGAATTTGACTTACAATTTTTAAAAACACTTGGAATGACTTAACTGACCCTTTTTTCACCACATGATTGACAATTTTATTTTATAATTCCTCTTACAGTAATTTTCTTACTCGAAAATATTTAAAAGAAAATGGGAATTATCATCATCCTACATTCTGCAATGTATATTCATTTTATGATTTTTTTTTTAAAATTGATAAATTCCAAGATAATTTCATGAAATAGCATCAGTTAGATGACCAGTTTATTTTATATTAAAAAAAAAAGTAGATAAATTTCGTGAAATTCTATCTAATCATGATAATATAGATTGAATGTTATGATTTCTTAATACAAATTAATAAGGAAAAAAAAGAAAAAGACATAAGAGTCAGAATACAAGTTCAATTATTTGAAAGTGTTCTTTTTTTTTTTTTTTTTTTAAAGGTTTAAAGGAGTTATCCTCCATGGCTCGATAGAATAACACCTCCAGATGTCAACGTGACAAATAGAAGGAATTTATGGATGGAAGGGGAAGCCAAAAGTGAAGTGATCATTGTTTGCTTTTTTTTTTTTTTTTTATTTTTTTTTTTTTTTTTTTTAATTATTCTTTTGGAAATGATAAAATTTCTTCAATTAGAACATTATATGTAATGAAAAGCATAATAGAGAAGTGGTTATTACTTTCAAAATGATAGGTAAATGATTTGCAGAAGTATTTCTAAATTATCATTTATCAAATGATATATATAATCATCAATTTCTTGGAAGGTCAGTAAAAAAAGCAATAATTTTACATAATAGTTTATTCACATATAACAAAATATATAATCATGTATATATTAAATGATGGCATATATTAAGAAAATAAAATCTGTTATAATTCACAAATATAAAAAGATATTAGGATAAAACCTATTTATAGTCTTTAGATTTTTTATTTTTTTTATTTCTTTTGGAGTATTGACCATTAAGGAGCGATCTTGCAAACTTAATTTAGTGATAAATGCATTCAGATTAAAGGAAAGAAAAAAATAATCCATTAAGTGATGTATATATTAATTATCATAAATGATAATGTGTGAAATTGGAAACAAAAATCTGGTAGTTCCATTTAATATAAAACTGTATAATTGTTTCAAGAGAGAGAAATAAAAACGGAATTCATGTTTTTTTTAGGTGTAAGCCCCTAAAAGTTGAGTATTAAAGAACCCTAAAAACCTCTTTTCTTTCTGCCAGCAATATATCACTGTACGTGAAAGTACTTGTATGTTTTGTTATCTTTTCATAAACAAATTAATTTAAATTCAACACAAAGTGATGGGGTAGCTTTAATGTTCCTATCTTCAGTACTATAAGAGACACTTTATAAGAAAGAAGAAGAAGAAGAAGAAGAAGAAGAAGAAGAATCTCTTTTCATGTCAATTGTCTCTTCCTCAAATCCTTGGTGAAAAAGTTTTGATTCTGTTATTATTAGTATTATTATTATTATTAGGACATGTTAGGACAGTAAAAAGTCAATTGACATTTTTATTTAGGACACAACATTTGCACAATCCTTTAAATGATTGAATTGTTTCAATTTTTTTGATTCTCACTAAACTGTATAAAATCTTTCAGTTATGATTTTTATATTTGAAAATTTTGAGATAATCCAAAAATAGATTGCAGAACGAGGAAGACAGATAAGAAGAAGAAGAAGAAGAAGAAGAATCTCTTTTCATGTCAATTGTCTCTTCCTCAAATCCTTGGTGAAAAAGTTTTGATTCTGTTATTATTAGTATTATTATTATTATTAGGACATGTAAAAAGTTCAATTGACATTTTTTATTAGGACAATACATTGCAAATCTTTCTTTAAATGATTGAATTGTTCAATTTTTTTTTTATCTCACTAAACTGATAATTCAATGATTTTATATTTGAAAATTTTGGATAAACAAAAGAATAGATTGCAGAAGAAATTAGCATCAAATAATTTAATTTCCACCATATGGTATGGATGGTAAGAGGCAGTTGTTTGTGGTGGGGGTATTCTACTTCCCGTAGCGTAAAGAAAGTCTATACAGGAAGTGTAATACTATATAGATATGAAGGGTATTTCGATAATTCCACATTTGACTCGCTTCAAAGGCAAGAGGTTGGCGGAAGCAATGAAGCAATGGAAAGCCAAATGAAAATTTCCTACAGGTGGGAGTTCTCGCTTTCCAGATCTTGGAGTCTCTTGATTATAAAAATTTTTTAATCCATTCAACTTCGAAAAAAGTACTGCCGGATTATATAATTTATAACGCATTTACCTTGTTAATAAATAATAAAAAAGAGTAATAATATACGTATTCAATTACCTCATAATACATAATCCATAATGTCATTTTAATTATTTGACCTTCTAATCAATAATTTAAAGAAAATAATGACTGTTTTGGCATTCAATTACCAGAACGCCATCAAGATCTTTAGACCTTGTTTGGTGTTTGGTTCGAATACTACTACGGAATAAATTTGGAATAGCTATTTTTACCTTGAATTCAAATTTAAATGTCAAATAATCTTTACATAAAAAAAAAAAAATTATGACTCTGATTTAATTTAATTATTAAAATATATAATAATTTATTATACATAATAAGTAGTCATTAAATTTACAGAACCTGATTTTTAAAAAGAAAAATGAATACTCCATATTTTTTTCGACGATCTAAGTTACTCCGTACTGAAATATAGTGGCTAAGTTTATTAGGTGTAAGACTTTATCGATTGAACTGCTAAATACAGATAAATTGTCCAATCACAATAGACTTATTTTGAACCTTTAAATAAAATTAAACTTTTTTTTTTTTAAAGTATATTTTATTTGCAAACTACTTGCAATCCTTTATAAAAAAAAAATTGAAAATTAACAAAGTTTGTCACTGAGAAGTTAATTTATTGATAGATACAGTGTACCACATGCTGTTATTTAGGAATCAATCAAAAATTCTATCCACAAAGTATAAAGGGTTCCATGTCTTTGCTCAACTTTAGTCGAGTCAAAGCCACTGTAAGCTCGCACAAAACACATGGCAAATATAAAAAATGAGACGGTTCACAATCAACTAGGATATAATTTCAAAATCAATAACGTAATATTACATCATTTTATGGCACAATAGAGACAATGATTTGACCAAATAATTGATTATTCCCAATTTCTAACTAGTTGTTCAACAACACTACTGCACATAAGAGGAAAAAAAATAATTTGGGCAGGGAAAGAACATAAAGATCATCAAATGGCTATATAAAGCACAGTTGAACATGAATTACAACAGGACAGCTCTATAACACTTAACTTTTCCTATTTTCTAATGCAAATTCTGAAAGTTTTAAAAAATGAGTGCTACCTTGTGCTCATCATCTTCTTATAGCTCTCATCAACATCTATATAGAAACTTTAAATTAAACCCAATTGAGAAAATTTGGGTGTCAAACCTGTTTCTTGCTACGTGTGTATATTACTATATACTCACTACAGACAAAAATGCCGCAAATCTATTGGCCAAAACCTTCATGTCGGTACAGATTGTTAACTAAATCTCTTGAACAATCAAAAATAAAAATGGATCAGCAACCAACGTTTCAGCTACTTGTCAAGTCATCTTCGCTATCCTCACTGTCGTCACTGCATTTTTCACAACCAGAACCATCATATATAATATTACATATTTTGATATATACATGGTGGTCCATATCACAAATATAAAATTTAAATCCCATAAATTTTATGACTCAATTTAATATTATATTCATGGAAGAATGATTTTTATGAATTAGAAATATCACAAAAAGAAAAATAAAACCGAGAATAGTAAAGGTTCAATTGGATTACCTATGCTCAGGGAACTTTGAAAGTCGTCTTGCCTCCAAGCCTGTGATAAACTTTTGAGCAGCCTGAACATTTTCTGCACCTGAGAAACAAGAATATGACAACAGATTACGGATAAAATTGGACTCTGCCCCCTGGCTGAGCTGATTCAGTGTAATGGTCCAATTAAAATTTTTTGCTACATCAATAAAGATGACAACAAATAAAAACATAATTAAAGCCAAAAGAAAAATACCTTTCGTTAACTGGAAGGCGTGCAGGGCACATCTCTCTGCCGCCATCCTCACTGGAGTACTACCATCCTTCAAACATTCAGCAAGTGCAGGGCCGACGATAGAAACATGAGACATGATGGATGTAGGACTTGCCTGCAATATAATTTTCCGAGTTCAATTTCCTACAAGTTATCTCTGATGGAACTCAAGCGTTACAATTTTTAAGTATAAAAGAACAAATGCCTACTTTTGCAACAGCTTTAATTGCAGATAATGCCCTCCTCCTGACTTCACTGGAGTCATCACGTAAAGCTGACACTATGGATGATATGACATCTGCATATGCAGAAGTTTTTGCAGGATCGGTTTGGATTTGATAAAGGAGAAGCCTTCCCAATGCCTTGGTTGAAGTTTCACGAAGAGGGAACTAATTTACAGAAGCGAATGCAATTTCAGCAACCAGTAAACACAACTTAAATTTAAACTATCAGAACTGTAAATACCTTCTCATCTTGCAAGCCGACTTTAATGCAGTCTACAATAGATGGGAACTCCGCATAAGTAATAATAGAAGAAGGATTGTGTCTTAGCAAGGATGAGATAGTGAGCACTGAGCCATGCCTAGAAACCCAGCTTGGAGAAGAGGCCAAACTTGAGACTTTATGAAGAAGGTCAATAAGCTGAGCAGTTTCCATATACTGCATAATGATTATTTAAAACAATGTGAGCAAAACCAAAAGGAAGTGAAGAATTCAGAAGTGGACGCACAGGAAAGATAAAGGATGCCAATGAATCCAACTTTGTCAAACACTTGATTAGATCCAGTTAGTTATCAGACCAAAGCCAAAATCAACAGCCAGCCTACTGTTAGTAGCTACGATTACAGTTAAAACACTAATGTTGAACTCATCACAACCTACTGGTAGAGTGCAAAGCAAAGAAAACTCAGAACTTGCCGAACTGCCACAGAACACAGGAAACCAAGATACATTCAGAACAGACCTGTGATGTGATACCAAATATGCTAGCAGCTGAAATTCGGACTTGGTCATCATCATGATCAATCAGATCATTTAATTGACCATAAACACGAATTTTGACAGCAATGCTCACACTCTTCCCAGCATGCTTCAAGACACCTTTCAAAGCCATGAGGATGGCCTCCCTCACACCAGCATCTGATGACTGAAACAGGAAAATAATAGCAATGTCATAATCACACTAAATTAAATATGCTAAAAGCAAATGGCAAGCACTACCTGAAGACTGGACAGGAGGTCACTGACTAGAGGATCAACCCTGGTACTGAGCGAACTAAGCTTCCCAAGTGCAAGAGCAGCACTTGTACGGACAGTCCTGCACAGAGAGAATATCTCATAAATGTTTAGAAATAACAAAGTAAACCAAATCGTGTATGTGAAACCAAACATGGAAAATAAAGCAGTAGGCCTCAAATATGAAAAAAGTATTATGTCTAATTATCAAACATGTAAACCGAATTTAGAAAAGTCTGTCACAGTGAATTTTATCTCACCAAAAGAATAAATCCCAAATCCATTTATTTTATTGGTATCCAATGTTAGTGAATAATTTGTCCAAGCCATAGATTGAATTGGAATAGACAATTTCTAAAAAAACTATGGTTTCTATGCATACCTTGTATTATCTTGTAAACACTTGATAAAAGTTGTTTGAAGCTGGGGAAGAAAAGGTTTCAGGGCCACCCCACCTTTTCTTATTATGATGCTTAAAGTAGACAAAATGGCACTCTTCACCTGCCAAGGGAACCGATCACCTATGATCCGGATGAGAGGCCTGTAATTACAAAGCATGTTAGATTTCATCGGACAATGGAATGTATTAGGTAAGAGCTTTTGAAAATTGTTTCTTAATGTACAGTTTGTATGCAACAATAACTTCCAAAAGGAAAGCAAATAAAAAGAAATGAAATTGTTCATATTTAGTCTAAAATCACGAGGCACTCGCTGTAAAAAGAAATTTTAGTGAAGAATTAACAAGCTTATAAAAGACCTGGTCAATTAATACTGATAAAAGGCAGATCCCAGCAGAAAACTGAAGGTACTGAATGGTTGAAATTCTTAATCTTGAATAGTGTTATGAGGTTGTAGTATATAAAGACACATGGAATCTTTCAATGTCGCTTTCCTTTTGTAGACCAATATTTAGTGGGACATATTCCTATGTGTTCCAAAGAAAGGGACATTGTTACAAATAAGTGACAAGCATCTTTCATGCCTAAGTTAGCTTGAGAAGTATATACATAGAATAGAGAGACAAAATGATACAGCGATGACAAGTGATGATAATATTGATGTCAGTGACGACATCAACAGTTACTTTGGTCAGAGCTGGAGTTTCTAAATAGAATGAATGCATTAAATATGGATATGATGCTGGAAATAGACCAATTTTAGCACCGGACCTCATGAAGGCTACATATGGCAAATGAGTGTCAAAAACAATTCCACAAAGGCACAGTTTTTATAATGCCATCACTCAACAATTATGGTGGAACAGATGTATCAAAATTTGACTACAAACTACATTCCCTAAAAGTCCATAGTCTATACCCTGTGATTGGGATGACAAACTCCTTCAGTGATTGTTCACTAGTCACTTCAATAAGCTCCCCAAGGCCCAATGCTGCCTGCTCTCTTAATTCTGCAGAGCCGCTAATTAAGCCCTAAAAAAGCAAGAAAGTATTAGAGGCTGATCCCACTCATTTAATCAATGTTTTCTCCATTCAAAAAGAACAAAAGTAAAAAGTGAACACAAATTTAGAAGCATGGACATTAAATGAGAAATGAGACATAAGAAATTAATACAACAGCATTAAAATGGTTATCAAGGACCAAAAGCACTCCTTAACATGCAAAACGACATGATATTAAAGAATAATCCATGCTAATATACATTCAGTGACATGGTAAGCTGAACAGAAGACCATAAATGCAAAAGAGAAAAATGTTGAGTGTATGTAGCAAACAAAAAAAGCAGATAAAAGTCAATTGCTGGAAACATTAAGCTGAACAGAAGACCATAAATGCAAAAGAGAAAAATGTTGAGTGTATGTAGCAAACAAAAAAAGCAGATAAAAGTATGAGAAATGAGACATAAGAAAATTAATTACAACACATTAAAATGTTGATCAAGGACCAAAAGCACTCCTAAAACATGCAAAACGACATTGATATTAAAGAATATCCATGCTAATATACATTCAGTGACATTGGTAAGCTGAAACAGAAGACCATAAATGCAAAACCAGACGGTAGAGAAAAATGTGAGTGTATGTTAGCAAACAATAAATGCAAAAGAGAAAAATGTTGAGTGTATGTAGCAAACAAAAAAAGCAGATAAAAGTCAATTGCTGGAAACATTAAGCTGAACAGAAGACCATAAATGCAAAAGAGAAAAATGTTGAGTGCATGTAGCAAACAAAAAAAGCAGATAAAAGTCAATTGCTGGAAACATTTTTTTAATAACATGTTGCTGATTGTAGATTGTGAAGAGTTAGTTTTACGCTAATAGCAGATGAGGTACAGATCACTAAGTCATTGTCCAAGTTCATCTTGACTACACTATTCCATTGATTTAGTTTACATCAAGCTTGAGCCATAATTTAGTTGTACTTGTCCCAAGTTTGATGCAATTCATGACAGTTAGCGGACATTCAATTTTTAGCTACAGTTAAGAAATTTAAATTAAACAGCAGGACTTTAAAATTGAGAGTGACTTTTTAGAGTCAGAGCACCTTTTCTTATAAAGTGGCAGCTTTTCCATTCAAAAGTCATGAACACTAAATTTGAAGCATGCCAAGAGTGAAGTGTCTATGGGCTCATTTCAGGATCCAAAAATATTAAAAACACATTATAACACATAAATAAACCATCTAAAGGACAATGGCTATTTACCTGGAATAGTAATAGCAAGAAAAAGAGAGGGGGAAAAAGAAGATGCATACTTGGAGAAATATGGGAAGTAATGGCTGAAGAGCTTTTGGAAGACAGAAACCAGGAATGACAACTGGTCCTCCCTGCAAGTTAATTAAAAGAGAATCCTAATTAGTCAACCATTTACAAGTTCAACAATACTCATACTATATGCACACTAGAAAGACATAAACCAAAGAAATAATGCTTATCATAATACCAACTCAAACGCAAAAGCAACAACTAACCTTCTTTTTCCTACGTTCCTTATCTCTGGATGTAGAAACAGCATCCCGCACCAGTTTTATATATGAAGGAAGTACTTCCTTAGGAATTGAGCCAACAACCCTTGATAGTGCTTCCCAGGCAACTTTAACGGTTGCAGAATCCGTATCGCTAAGCAAAATAATCAGTGTAGATATCATGTTTGGAGCTTCGTCAACCAAATATAACTTGCTGTTTTTGAAGAAGTATCCTATCAGATATGACGAACTTCTCCTAACAGAAGCCTGGCACCGCAAAGGTAAAGAAAACAGGGAGTATGAGAAAAAAAAGGGGAAGTGAGAATGATAAAAGCCTCCAAGGATTACTTGCACGACATACCATGCTATCTCCAACACCTTTAAGAAGTTCAGTTATCAAGTACTCGACACCTTCTTCATCTATGACCAAGACCACTGTTTCTGCAGCCTCCTTTGCCAGAGTTTGAACTTCCTGAAAGGTTTAAACATATTAGGTAAAATAAGTTGGAGTTTGATAACACAATTCAGCACTTAAAATTAAAAACTTTCAGGACTTGTTTGATAACAGTAACAAACACATCACTTAATTAGTCTCGTTTAAGCAAAATTGCGCTCAAATGATAAGTCAAATTTTCCACTTTAAAATTTGCACTGGATACAACAAATTATTGGAATTATGAACAACTTTGTAAGTTAGCAATTTCAGCACAAAAATTCAGATCTTAAATTTTCAGCACTTAATTTTCAGCTTTACTATAATTTTTCTGTTTTAAAGACCTAACAGGATAAATCGGCAACAATGGGGCACATTCCTAGAGCAAATTGATACAGTGAGTCTAGATAAGCAACAACTGTGACAAACAATAATAAATAAATAAAAGAAAACAACAACAATGAAGCCTTAATCCCAACCAACCAATTTTATTTTTTTAATAAAAGAAACACACTTAAAGAAGAAAAACTGAAAAATTTGAAAATTTATTCACGTTGGAATACTAGTGCATACCTTGTCCTCATCATCCATTGCGGAGAGTAAGGCAGGGAGAATGGTACCAAGATGGACATTAAGCCCTGGTCCAGCAACCTCTGCTAATGCTCCCAGAGCATGTGCGTTGAAGGCACTGCATGCACAAACAGTTTTCAATAAGAAAGAGCAATAAGTAAATGACCGAAAAATACACATATTTAGAAAGTTTCGTAGCAATAGTGGAAGTGAAGCATACGAGAGGGGAAGGTGAACAAGCTTGGGCAGAATATGAGGTAATACGGCCGCAGTCCTGACACTGAAATTGGCAAGAAAAGGGTATCAGTTTCAAGATAAAACAAAGACAACAATTTGTATCTTCTAAAGAAATTTTACCTTAAAATTTGTTTGAGGCCATCGAGAGCAGTATCAGAGGTTTCATCATCCTCCAGAGCATGCAGAAGAGTTGGAACGATTTCATCAATTGCTTGCATTCCAGCACTCTGAATGATAAGATGTTTAAGTTTGTTCATCTCATGAATTAATACTTAATACAGATACAAACTCAAAAGAGACCGGACTAGTAAAAGAGCACCTTGTACAGAGTGCTGAATGCTAAGCCTGCAGACTCACGAACCTCAGGCATGCTGTTCACACAAATTTCTTTTTAGGAAAAAAATTAAATTTGTTGCACAAAATATTAGAGATAAGCAGTAAGCGAATTTATATTACCTATCGCAAAGGGCAGTCCTAATAGTGGGGATGAGCTCATCCATAAAATTCAATAGCTGACTCCTTCCAGCACTTGCCATTACCTCACTCAGACCAATGCATACACCCTGGCAGACCATGTAATATTAGAATTGTGAACAGGGGATATATTGTGCTCAACTGTCTAAAACAAGGTGCATTCCAAATAAGAAAACTCCTAAATCGTCTATAACAGATGCAAAAAAAAAAAAAAAAAAAAAAAAAAAAGAAAACTCCTAAATCGTCTATAAACAGATGCAAAAAAAAAAAAAAAAAAAAAAAAAAAAAAAAAAAAAAAAAAAAAAGGTGAGGTGAACTCCTCGCAACCTAAGCTTTCACCCTGATGCTGCCTGCTGCAAGAAAAGATGATAGAAACAGTGGTGCATTCTTATGCAATGCACACTACTGAACAGACCTTATAGTCTTGTAGTGATAAGTGTTCAAAGAAAGTAAATGTAGAAACTTGCAATTTTTTAACAAATTTTGTTAAAGAATATAATTGCACATGCAAACAACATATAGAGAGAGAGAGAGAGAGAGAGAGAGAGAGAATATTACTTGTCTTCTGCTAGCATCAGGATCCTTCAGCCCCCGGGATAAGATTGGGATAATCAAAGGAAGTACTCTCTCACCAAGCTTCCGCACAAGTTCACCCAATGCTCGTCCAGCAACCTACAGAGCAATATGTAATTAATGATTTCAATTTTGTAAACAAAGAATAAGGCGACGTTTAAGGAAAAAGATGAACGCACAAACCTGGCGCCTTTCAGATGATGATGATGCCAAAGAGGATATTAATGTATTCATCAAAACTGGCATGATTTCCTTTAGAGTCTTCGGAGTATTTGCCACAATAGTTTTCCATACATGTAACGCAGCCTGAGCGTAAAAGTTAAAAAAAAAAAAAAAAAAAAAAAAAACCTACAATAAGTTTTTCCATACATGTACCAGTTGAGCGGAAAAGTTAAAGAAAAAAAAAAAAAAAAAAAAAAAAAATAGAGGAAAGAATGATTTACTTGGAATTTCAAAACAAATGGAGGAAATGCATGTACCAAAGTGATTCAAAATAGTTTATATTAGGTCACTACCTGACGCACGGACAAGCTCACATCCGTTCTAACCATATATAATGCAGCAAGAACTTCATTACGTTTCTCTCTTCCTAAAACCTCAATAATCGCACGTCCATGTGCTTCAGTACTAGCACCTTCATCATCACTACCACCCTCAAGTAAAGCTTTTCCAGAAGTTCCAGCAACCTGGGAGGTGAAACAAGCTACCTCAGCAAGCTACTAGCGGAAATATTTTACATAGAAAATAGAACTTGAAAATGTTAAGAAGAATAACCTTAAACAAGAGGTCTCCTAATAATTCCACGGAGCTTTGCCGGATACGCCAATTATCATTAAATATACCATCTTCGACTGCTGGAAGAAGAAGAGGCAAGGCCCTATAGATTGGGGGGGGGGGGGGGGGGGAGGCGCCTATTAGATTGGGGGGGGGGGGGCGGGGGAGGTGGAGATAGGAAATAACATGAGAAAGAAAAGTAAATCACGTCAATTAAATGGCATGAAGCAACTGGAATCCAAATATTTCACAACAGGGGGGGGGGGGAGGGGAGAAGAAATAATGAGAGAAAAGTAAAAATCACCGCAATAAATGGCATGAAGCAATGATCCAAAATATTCACAACAGAAACGACACTTTGCAAGATTAGATTTGATTGCCTCCAAGAAATTTTCAATGCACTAACAGGAGGAAAGCAATAAAAATTGCATTTAATGAGCTAAGAAGTCGTCCATGAATTTAATTCAAAGGATTATATGAGGCAACATTGACGTTATTTCCTCCAGCAGTGTCAATATATTTTAAATGCTGGAACACATGACAAGGGAAGTAGAAGTATATTTTGAGCCCACTGCCAAGTAGTAAGAAAAAATAGAGAAATGAAGTAAATATCATGACAGCGCAGTACGTTGTTGCATAATGCTCAACAAGGACATGACCAGCTCCTAATGCCGCATCACGCACAGATTCATTCTCATCAGAAAGACCTGTAAAATATATCACCATATTAGAAAATACAAGAAAAACCCAGGTGAACATAATAAACTAAGTTACTAAAGCAAAAGAAATTTCCCAAGAAGGAAACTCACCATCTAAGATAGCAGGCAGCACCTGCTGCAAATAGTTCTGGAATTGAACACCTAGTGACCTTGGCAAATACTGCAGGCAAATATAAACAACAGGAATTAATTACCAGGCATCATGAAAACAACCCATAAGAATACAACAACATTTATGGTATTCACCTTGAAAAGTGTCAAATATCCATCACGTACAGATGCCCTTTGATGAGAACAATTCCGTATAATATCAGGTAGTACATGTTCAAAGTATTCCGTTCCTAGTGCAGCTAATACCTGGAAGATAGACAAAGAAGAACCTCTATTAAGTAGAATTAATAAGGAGAAACTTTCAAAATTAAAGTTTCCACTGAAATACCAAACTCCATAATCATATCAATTAAAAACGTCCATAATTTGTGAGATATACATGGTAGAACTGGCTAAATTTATGGGGAGAAATAAAAATCCAATCAAACGAAAAGCAGAAGTATCTGATTAAGTTTAACCTCACTCAACCCTTGAGCAGCTCCGGAGCGCTCAACATTACTATTATCAGATTTTAGCGTATCAAAAAGCCATGGGACAAGATCTGGGAAGTTTTCTTCTCCCATTCCTCTTATAAGCGACCCAATTGCCCGTGCTGCAACAGACCTAACTTCAGGGATTGGATCCACAAGAACCTATTTTTACACACCATGGTAAATCATATGTCAGAACAAATTGCATACATCAATATCTGCAACTCAAGTGAGAAATTTACCTTTTTAACTTCAGGAAGAAGCAACCCAATGTAAGGAATCATATCCTTCGGTTCTGTAACTAATGAACACATATTTCCAACAATTTGTGCAGCTTTCTTTTTAGTTTCAGCACTCCGCTCCCTTAGCCCTCTATGAACTATTGGTACCAACAGTGCAAGAGAAGGGGCATCAATGGAATTAACAAAAGTTGTCTGCAAAAAAATATATGTATATATATAAATAAAATCAAAAGCTTGATGACATATGCAAATTTTAGCACATATACCTCACATAGACAAGAATTTCTTTATTTTCTTTTTATCAGTAAAGTTACCTGGAGGAGAATGTCAAGGGAATACTTGGTATGATCATTTGGGTCTGTAAGGCCCATGAGCAGAGTAGGGACAAGGGAAGCTATTTCTGGATTCTTTATCACACTCCCTACCTAAGAATAGCACTGACAAATATTATGGACAATCATAAAATAAACATATGAAATGAAATATACAATAAAATATAACCTGCTGAAGCGCTGTTTGCCCGGCTGACTGGACTTTGGGATGAGTATCAGTTAATACCTTAATTCAAAAAAGAATATCAAGAGTTTAGAAAATTCAAACTTGTTTAAGGAAGCAAACCATGCTTATGTCTTATTCAGATATACCTCTGTCAGTTTCGGAACAACTTTGGGGAGGCACTGAGACAACTGTTGAGGAGCACAGTAAGCCATAGCACCAAGAAGCTGTACGCTGCTTTGCTTTGTCCGCCAGGCTTTATCCTCAAGACCCTGAAAAAAAAAAAAAAGCGTAATGTCAGTCAATTGAGCACTTTGAGACGATTGAATTTCTCCGACACAACTTTCACAGTGAGACGCTATAAATTAAATATGTGCGCAAGAAACAACTTTATATCTCAGTAATGATATGGAATATTTATAGAACACCTAAGTAAAGGCATAGACAATGTGCACATTTGATTTTTTCGCCACTTGTTTTTTGTTAGCCAAAATCCTTCACATATATTCAGAGTTAAGCAAGGTATCCAAAGTAACTGAATAGTATCATGATTCATTTGATTCCACATAGATTCATATGTGAGCATTTTGGCACAATGAATCAAATTAAAAGCACTAAATGGTTAAAATACGCAGAAATTGTTCATTTTGACAAGCATAACAAATTTGTTCTTATGAATACGCAATTTGAACAGGTTGGTCATATCAAATTTTTCATTGTCAAACAGCATTTAATAAGGCTGGACGACTTGCAAGTACACAGTCGTAAATCAAATCATTCAAATATGAAAAGTACAGAAAAAGAGAGAGGGGTTGGGGGGGTTGAAAGATACATAATCAAGATTTTTTCATTGTCAAACAGCATTCTAATACAGGCTTGGAAGACTTGAGCCAAGTAAATCAGTCCAGTAAATTCAAAACTCATTATTCAAATATGACACAGACACAGAAAAAGAGAGAGGGGTTGGGGGGGGGGGGGGGGGGGGGGGTGAGAGACAAATTACAAATTACGAACCTTTAGCAGTGAAGGAAGGACAAGCTTAACCCCCTGTGCACTGAGTTGAGACATCATTGCACGAGCAGCACATTCAGCAGCTTCACGAACAGCAACAACTTGATCAGAGAAAGAAACCAGAAGTAGTGGTAACATCTGAATCACATACCTAGACCAATAGAGAAGAACAGATTAATTGTAAAAAAAAATAGCAGACAGAATGTTTTACTATGATGAGAAGTTGTAAAACGTACGGTTCAAACAGTTTCCCCAGCTTTTCACAAAAGCACTCAAAAGCCAGAAGAGCTCCTTCACGAGATTTTGCAGAATTCCTAAAATTCAAAGAAAATAAATAACAAGCTCTATTAATGCCATCATACTAAAAACATAAACATCAAGGACCACTACCAAGAATAACACTGCCACACTAAACAATCAAGGTAAAGGAAGAGGAACCATTAAAAGTAATAATACAGTGCACATACTAGTAGGGGCAGTGCTGTGATCCCAAACAAGAGGGAAAATACCACAGGACTTATAGCCCAATAATCAAGTATCCAACTTTCAGGGAAGGAATTAAAGGTTCAATCCCTAGCACCCCTCTCTTTAAAAGTTTTGTATATATAATACATAAATAAAAGAATATTATTATACCTATCAACAAAGCCTTCTCTTAAGGCTGCAATAATCCCGTATTTCTTTAGGCAAGATATTCCAAATCCCTTTACCACCCCAGCAAGTCCAAAAGCTGCTCCACGACGTTCACCATATTTGTCGCTCTTCATCAGCTGATCCAGCAGTCTAGAAAAAAGTGCAGCTGCATCATCCTGATGCCAGAAATATTACATCAATGAATTTATGCTTTCGAAAATAAACAGAAAACATTCCCAGCCATTATCCCTTTTTATAAGATTGCAACGGTATCTAGATGTGCCAAGTGACTGCTTAAACAGTAATTTGCATTAAGATAATTAAAATACAGAACAATCTGAAAGTTCAGGGAAGCACCGCACTGGCTACATACTTGCTTTGATTGCATGAGTGGAGACAGGCACGTTGACACTGCCCGCTGAACAGCTTCTGACGGAGTGTTCAACACATCCAACAACTTCTCAACTACAGTATGAACTTTTGGATCATCCTGCAATGAAGTTCCCATGTCCAGGCTAAAGTAGAAAGAATGCAAAGGATACTTTCCTAAAACAAAAAAAAAAAAAAAAAAAAAAAAAAAAAAAAAAGCTTACTAATATGCAAATCAAACCTTTTTCAAAAAAAAAAAAAAAAAAAAAAAAAAAAAAAAAAAAAAAGATAGGTACTAATATGCAAATCAAACCTTTTCCAAATGTTTAGCCAAAGCTCCGGTAAAAATAACTACACCCTCACGAACCAAATCATACTTTTCCTCATCTGATGCCTAAGTAAGAAGAAAGATAGGGTAAGATAATAAAAGAATTTGAGACATTTACATGAGAGATCATGCATATCCCAGCCAAAGGACATCGAACATAAAGAAGAGATACAAGGTAAACCTTTTTGTTCAAGTAATTCTCAAAGATTGGAAATAACAAGGAAACATTTTCTTTCCCATGCTTATCAATAATCATTATTCCAGCATTGATCATTCTTCCCCGAACATCTGCATTAGGATCAGCCTACAACATCAAAACCGTTCAGGAATTAGCCATAATACTCTAACACACAAACATATACACAAATACATATACGCACAAACATTGGGATAAATACGATCAGAGCTCTAATTAAATAATATAAACTGAACAAAACAATGTATCAACAGATGATACCCCTGCTGTATCATGAAACCATTTAAAAGTGACCAACTATTAGAAACATCATGCCATTGCCATTTATCCTACTAAAGTATTCATTTCAAAATGGAATGAACATTATGATTCCAATAATCATGCCACTTAGAATTAATTTTTGAACATCATAGACAATGGAACAGTAGAACATGTCAATGTGATATTGGGAGAAGACAGGACTGTAAAACAACCAAGAGGCAATTACATTATCTAAGAGAAAAAAGTTACCCTATTACAGGGATAAAGAAAATAAGGTCTAACCTCATAATCATACTATTTATATACAAGACAAAAACACTGCTGTCTAAAAACAGACGTGGTTATTTGAAATCTTCTATAACACATACCCATATGCATATATATATTTTCTTTCCAATGGGGAAGGCCATGGGGATGCAACCATTAACCCACCTACAATCAACTTCAAGTATATTGCCCCAACCTGGCCAGGGGCATAAATGTGGCCCATTAACATCATTTGCATACTCAAAAAGAGAGAGAGAGAGAGAGAGAGAGAGAGAGAGAGAGAGAGAGAAGTGTTGATAGCAGTTCACTTCCGTAAAGAGCATCCAAAATTGTATGGAAAATTGTGGGAATAGAATTGACTACAAAAAATTTGCTAACTTCATTGGGCTATAATATCGTATTGATGTTAACACAAAAATTTCATTTCCAGGAGAATGGGAAGAAAAAAAAACACTCGACAATCCAATTTAGATAGAGATTATAAATTTGACTAACAATTAATCTATTTGGAGAACAGCGATTAAATCTTACCAACGCTCGTGATATGAGGAATGTCATGACAACAGGAAGGTCTTTTGTTCTCAGAACATCAGCAGCAGAATGTAAAGCCAAAGCTAATCCTTGTCTGCCTATCCACCCAGCATCAATATTGTCCTCACCAAAAGCAGAATCTCGAATATATAAGGAAAATAAAGTTGAAAGCGATTCCTGAAATTATTGTTAAGCAACTCAAAATAAAATCCAAGAAAACACAGCTAAAGCAATATTTATTTTTTTAAGTGAGGAATGACACAGCTTAGTTGCATTCAAAATAACCTGTATAGAATCAGGGTTTTCGTCCAAAGCAGCAGCCAATGCCTCTGCAGCAGCCATACGAACATTATAGTTGCTATGACAAAGTGCTTTGAAAAGTCCAGAATAGTCAGTCCCAAATTCATGTCCATAGCGATCCCAGATATCCTCTGCCGCTTCAGCAATTGACTGTGAATAAGATTAAGTTTAAAAAATTTCATTAATAAGGAAAAGGCCAACAAACTGAAATAATTGATAAAGCAAGGAAAAACTGGTATTGTCATTCCGGCAAACAATGTGACTGATATACAAAGAAGGCACCAACTTTAGATGCCTTTGTTAAGTTATTTTAAATACCCAAAACAACTGAACAAATAAAATTATGTGTGAAGAGGAAAGGAACAAAAAAAAAAAAAAGAGGAAGTATAATAGGTTTCACTGACTGAGAGAACTTCCAAGGCATGAACCTCACTGTAAAACTGTCTGCATGGGTTAGAATTACTACCAGCAGAGCAGAATTTCATTTTTTCAGCACCAAGGCCCACTGGTTAATTTAAATGTCATCCTCAGAGAACGAAGACAGTGACAGAGCAAGTTGGGTACACACAACAGAGAGCAAAACTTAAGTTGATAGGAAATATATTTGGTTGGTTGAGAGTTGGCTAAATGCTTCCTGCAAAACTTCTACAAGTTAATCTCAAATGCAATGTGAACAAGGAGTTGACAGAGTCTCACACTAAGGGACAGAAAGCATGGGTGGACAACCTTGGTGAACTCTTGATATTTGAAGTGGAAAATGGACCCCCTAGTTTGTTTGGAATGAGTAGGTATAGAGCTTTCTGGGAGCATTTGCTTCCCTTTATAATGTCACAATCAACAAAGAATTGTTGGTGGAGTACTGCCCAGAGTACAAAAACTGGGTGGTGATATTTAATCCAATTTTCATTTAATACTTATGTAAAGATAAGATAGTTTCCACTAAAGTGTAGGTTGAGCATAAGGCGCAAAATCAAAAGGATGGTAACCTTTGACTGAAGAGCTTCCCACAAAAGAAGTATGGGAACAAAGGCATTAAGGTGGCAGTTCTTACGCTGCTAATCATGCAGATTAGATTTCATTCTGAGAGTGAGAGGAAATGGGAAACTATCAATCACTTATTAATTGTTACCTCGCTTATGAATATGGGTTCTTATTTTCATTTCCATTGGAATTTGTTGCATACAGTGAAAATGTGATACTAAGAGGCTAACATTATAGCACAATTCCAAAGCAGAGGAACATTTGTCTCCTGGTTTAATTGGATGGTCATAAGGAAGAAAAATACTAAGATTTCCTCAGAAATATCACCCTGGTCCACAAAATCTAAGATATCTTCTTTATATTTTGCTTCTGGGATAGGCAACATCATACACACAAGTTCCCATGACTCACCATGGGTTACACTTCTAAGAAATCATTTTATTTGTTATTTAATCTTTTGACTGGGTCTCATATGTGCATCTCTGGTGCACAGTACATGACACCACTCTTCAGATGCATTCACAGATACAGTTTTGTTATTACAGACGGGGAGAGAAAATACAGTTGCCAGACCGAACCTTTTCTGGATCATGTAACGCAATCCAAATGCTGGTTGCAACCTCAACATTCTCAGGAAGAGAATGACTAGAAACAGCAGGAATGCATTTTATGGCATTTAAGCATGCCATTCTCACATGGACGTCTTTTGCATACACACCATACAGAGCCTGCCAAAAATAAATGTCAGGAATCATGAGAAAATTAATGCAGCACATGCAGAACCAAATTAAATGTACGGGCTGAGCAGAACTCAGTCAAAGTGACCGAACTGAACAGTTCAGTCTATATAAAACCAAAATTTTTTTTTCAGATCATATCAGATTTCATTTAAAACTGAAAATTGAAAAACAATTTGAATTAAGCCCAAATTACTTCAAACCGAAAAACCAAACTGAAATTATTCATTTTGGTTTAATTCTGTACAGTAATCACTTCGGTTTAGTTTTTTCAGTTTTGACTGAATTGATCATTTGCATACCCCTAATTAAATAAAAATATAAAGAACATACAGATGCAACTTCATCTGACTGCAGACCAAGGCACAATTCATTCAAGGCTGCTCCAACGGGTGCTTGGTAAGCAGGAACAACACCTAGAACATGATAAAGAGCCTGAAATGCAAAAAAAAAAAAAAAAAAAAAAAAAACCAACGGGTGCTTGGTAAGCAGGAACAACACCTTAAGAACTGATAAAGAGCCTGAAATGCAAAAAAAAAAAAAAGAAAAAAAAAAAAAAAAAAAAAAAAAAAAAAAAAAAAAGCAACATAAAAATATGCTATTAAGTGACAGGTAAAACTTTTGTATCAAAAGGAAGAGAAATAACTGATAGCATTCTAAGTCTTGGGAGGGGTAATTGGGGATCCATATGCAAATAGAGAATCCGAAGCACATCATCATGAAGTGCAGTCTTCTTTGGAGTTAAAAGAATACGCTCCATTATCTGGAAAAAAAAAAAAAATAAACGTATTAATAGAATATTTTGTCATAGAATGGATAGTCCCACAAAAAAAATTGAGAACAGAACACTTACTGGAAAGACAAAAGTGAAGGAATCTACAGGAAGAGGTTCAGATTTACAAGAGATTGATAATCCATTAATTATTCTTTCAAAAAGTCCCAGGGATGGTCTTTCATTGGCTTCCGCTTCACCAACTGCCAGAATTAGATCTAGCAGAACACTGACATCCTCAGTGACAATAAGCCGTAGAGCAGTAGCAATATCAAGGGCCCAATTACAAAGCGGTGGAGCTGTACATCCAGCAAGTTTCACCAAGGTTTCATAAGCCACATCACTTACTATAGGGGACCGCAGCAAAGGATCAACAAACTTAACCTAATGGCATATGAAAACAAAAGTTAGGACACAATACAAAGGAGAGCAAACACATATATATAAGGAAGAAAATGAATATAACACATCTTGAAATTATATAAACATAAACATGAAAGTTGATCAAGTTGATATATCAATGACAAATGAATACTCATGAATCATGAGAAACAATTTATTTAAGATCATAAAAGGAGCAATGTACTTGAGAAAATAAAAATCAACAGATGCTGCTCGTAACATGTTAACCATTACATGGAAATTTTTTTCCCCTTATCTGCATGAATATTGCTGCATCAAGAGTGACTTGAGAAAACCAGAGAATAGAAACTAGTATATATTCAACGTTTGTTTCCACATGCAACAGATGTAAGAAGAATAAAAATTCAAGTCCTAATGATCCGAACTATCCTAAACTTAGCTGCTATTCTCCATTCTATCCAATTACTTTCAATTTATCAATTTGCTACACGAAATTTTGAATTGGTAATATTCACATCCACAAGGAGTTAAGGTAATTGAAGACATGGCACTAATGACATTCTGAGTAGGGGTGGCCACGGTTCCGGAACAGGCGGTTCCGGTTCCAGAACCGGCGGTTCCGGTTCCAGAACCGGCGGTTCCGGTTCCAAAAAAACTGGAACCGGAACCGAACCGAACGAACCGAAAATAAGGTCCGGTTCCGGTTTCCGTTTGGTAACCGGACGCGTTCCGGTTCAGTTCCGGTCCGGGTCCGGTGATAAACCGACCGGTTCCGACCCTCGATTTTCCGCCGAATTCACCATAATTTTAAATTTTAAATCTTTAAAAGGACTCGGTTTCTCAATAATTTAATAAATTTGGTGAAAGCTTATTTTGTAAAAAAAAATACCAACTTAAAAAATTAAAATAATTCTACAATTTAAATTTATTTTTTTAAAAGACTTGATATAAATTATTTCTTTTTACAAAAAAATTCTTTCAACTGAAATTATTTTTTGTTTAAAAAAAGTTTGAACAATTTAAAAAATATTGCTAGAGAATAAGTAGAGAGAGTAGAGATTTTTTTGGTAATGAATTTGCTAAATGAAATGAGGTATTTATAATAAATTCCAAAAATTAATTTTTCAGAAAATACCCTTAAACTAGCCTTATATAGCCGTTTATAGCCTATTGGGAGCGAATAATTAATAATTTCACAAAATAAAAATTAAAAAAAAAAACACAACGTTCAGACAATAATTATAAAGAATATGTATTTATTTTATTCATTTTTCTGTTGTCCCTTTGTAGGGGTAGGGCGGTAGGGTTTATAATTTTATTGTGTCTAAAGGTTGGTGGACAGAGTGGTGCGAGGTACTGGGGTTCTTTTGCCTCTAAAGGAGCTTTTTTTTTTTAATTTTTTTTGGTGTGACATGTTTATAAGAAACTCCGGTTTCGAACGGCGGTCTACCGGCCGGAAGAACGGCGGGTTCCGACCGGTTTTCTGGAACCTGCCGGTTCTGGCCTCCAGAAAATCTGGAACCGGAATATTCCGTTCCGGGTTCCGTGTTGGTCCCGGTTTCCGGTTCTCACCGGTTCCGGTTCGGTTCACGGGACCGCGTTCGAAGGTCCCGGTTCCGGTTCTCACCGGTTCCGGTTCCGGTTCCGGACCGGTTCGAACCGGCGGTTCCGGTTCCAGGAACCGTGATTTGGCCAAGCCTAATTCTGAGGTGAAGGGCAACACTGAGTGGGGAAGCCTTTGTATGCTAACCAATTAATTCCTCCAAAAATTCAAATAGTTGTCATTTCAATGATTTTGTCCAGGGAAATACATTTGATATGGCAACGTCCAATCAAATTTCAGGGAACCAGCAGGGGTCATTAATAACAAGAATTGTCTTCTTAGCCTTGCCCTCCACCTTAGCAGATCGTGTGAGCTGAATTTTACCAACTACTCACACCTCTTACTCAACGCATACAATCGTTATCAATTCCAAGTTTCATGTAGCTAATTGATAAAATATGAAGCATTATATACAATAAGGAACACTCAAAAAGTTCAAGACATATTGGATAATTATGCAAAATAAAATTACCCCAACTTTGCCAACATTATACATTTGTTAGATGTTGGATGGTTGGCCGGTTGAGCATCAAAACATGAAACATATATAGAATGAAAAGGTGGTTATGAGTCACACACCAGGGAAGGCAGTTGACTGTGAGCAAATATAGGATTAGCTATGGCAATTTCCCCAAGTGTCCTCAGCACCAAAGACAGATTATGCTGTATACCTCGGACCTTCTCACGTATTGAAGCCTCCTCTTTTAGCAATAACTCACGTGCCTCTTCTTTTGCAGTCTTTCCTTTGTCTACAAAAGTCAAAGGCAGCTAAAATGGGTTAAGAAAAACATAAATAACACAATAAACAAAAGTCATCAACCAATGCATAGAATGCAAATGACATGCCAGCTTTCTTCACTAATTTTCCAGTATCCTTTTTCCCCGGACCAGCAGCTTCTCTACCCGCTGGTTCTCTCTTGACAGAATGATTAGAACTGATATGATCCTGTTATCAGACGACAATTTAGTTGACAAATTAATTACCTCAAAGAGATCACAGAAGAAGCAACAAAAAAATAATGGGAATAATGGGAAAAAAAAGAGAGAAATAATAGTTGAGTATCGATAATTACCATGCCATCTTGGTCCTCGTACATCCGGAAACGACCCTTTGCTTGTTTTGTATTCCTAGTAGCAACAGATTCTGCAACATATACACCTTGTTCGCTGGAAAGAACTCCTTCAGGAGTATGAAAAATCTGAAATAAGAAAAAATAATCAAGAAAAAAAAATGGATGGATGAAAATATAATACTAGAGCAAAAATGATGTGGCATAAGTACAAGTAGTTAGAATAGGGACATCAAATCATCAGAAGATGCCATCTTTTCACATCTATATAATTTACCACTCATGATCAAGAAAAGAATATGGATGAATTGAAAGAGCATCAAGAATTAAAAAGTTCCTAGACAGGAAGCAGATTCATTGTCAAAGCCAACAGAATGGGATAACCTTATGTTTCACAATAGAGAAAGTCAGTAATAGAGTCGAGAAACTATGAAGCCTAAATATACAACTCATAAAAAGAAAAATTTACTCAAAGACCAAACAGCTAAATCAGCCCAATGACTTGCCAGTTTTGAGAGTCTAATCACTTGTCATTTTGTTGGTTCACAGTATTCTTTATCATTAAACGGACACAAAAGATGGAAGCTAAGAAGCCAACATCTCCACTGCCAATTTCAAACCAATAGTCTAATTGAGAACATTGAATCAGAACCATCCACATTAACTTTCTAAAAACTGAACAGATATAGATGTTGAAAATGTGTCATTCGAGAACAAAATGACAGGAAAATGTAGCTACCAGAATCTTAAAGAAATATTATGTCATCTTGTAAATGATAGCTTGTTGCAAAAAACATTTTTAAGTCATAAAGAGAATTCAATTCATAGATCACAAAAACACAAAAACAGAGAGATGAAAGAAATCATTCCAAGCAAACATTATTTCTACAACTACGTCATTGCAATCACTTGGTAGAAATACAAAAAATCTATGCAATTCATAGATCACCAACTTTCAGTTAAGGAGCCAAAAAATTACATGTTAACCAACAACTTCTCTCAAGTTGTGAAGCAATGTGGGAGGATGCAATATAATTCATTCGGATGCAACAGGGAAAAAAAAAAAAAAAAAAAAAAGGAAAAAAAAAAAAAAAAAAAACAAAGAAAGTCCTCATCCTCAAATTATTTTTGATCTCAAACATTTTCTATCGGGAGATTTTACTAACCAAAAATGATAAAACAACTTAGAAAAAAAAAAAAAAAAAAAACAAAGAAAGTCCTCATCCTCAAAATTATTTTTGATCTCAAAATTTTCTATCGGGAGATTTACTAACAAAAATGATAAACAACTTCAATTTTAATTAATACAAAAATGTGATCAAACCTACATTTTGCAAATCTAAAATAAATCAATTAGATGAATATAAGAAACTTTACCTGAATATCACTTTCTGAAAGCATATCATGTGAATAACGATCTTCAAGATTTCTTAAGTGCTGCCAAAGAGAATAAGAAGGCTTTGGTCAAGACTCAACTATCAAAGATGACATCATCAGCCATAATTCAGGAAAGTTCCATTCAAAACAGCAAGCATACTAGCTATAAACCTTTTCAAACTCCATATAAATCTCTCTAGGTGCAATTGACATCAGTGTGGTTAGAGAATTTATTGCTGCTTCTTGTTCCAAGACATTCAAACTCATCAACCCCATTGGTCCAAGCAGAACCTGCAAATGAAACTATTAGTGGCTAACAACAAGTACAGGCATGTCTTCACGTTAGAGATACAGAGACAACGTAATACAACACTCACCCCAGTTAAAGTTAATTGGAGGAGCTAAAAGTAGAATATACCACATCAAATTAACTGAGAAAATTCTAGAGCACTTAACAACAACAACTAAGCCTTAATCCCAAACTAATTCTAGAGCATTCAATTAAAATCACGCTTAAACATCAAAAGTTAATTTATATAGTAACTCCAATTATAAGTCACAACAATAACACTTCCTAAGCAATATTTCAAACATCAAAATCAAGACAGTCTCATTCTCTCAAGTTTTATTGGAACTCATCTAGCTACAAATAGCTTATATTACACTGCAGGGAACTCTCTCCCCCATCATTTTCTTTCAAGATCATGTCACAGAAAAGCATTGAAAGAAAAAAGGAAAAGGAAAAAGAAAAAGACAATGGGAAACCATAAAAATATTGATCTCCAATAAAATAATAAAATGAACACTGAAACAATCCTATATGAATGTAAATACCCAATTTTCCACCAATACTTTAAAGATAATATTTGAAATAAGCCAAATATGAATGTGCAGATGTGCATTCTCATTGCATAATTAATAGCATTCAATATCAGTAGCACCAATTTTTATGAGCAATTTTAATGAACCCAATCATATCGTAAGCATATCAAAAGAAAAAATAGCAAACCTTTGACTCTGACAGGAATATTGTCAGTTAAAAATATATCAAACTGTTGAGGATACTTCCAAAAAAAAACACAAGTTCCATATAGCTTCAACCAGGCATGCACAAGCAAGACAATTCACTACCTAATGAATCTTTTAACTGCAACAACTTCATATTATTGAGATTACAATATTTATTAACAGTAGAGCTACAACTTGAAAAATTCAAACAACACAGGTAATGAACAGTTTTTATTTCATAAAATCTGAAATGTTGAAAAGCCATAAAGCAATGAACCCAAAAAAAAAAAAAAAAAAGAGTTGCATCAGGATCCATAAATTCAAACCTTATGTTCTTTATACAGTTCAACAAAGCTAGCCATAGCAGCAGAAGAATATATCTCAGGTTATTTATTAGTGATATTCTTTACTTTGCAGACACATCAAAGTAACTTATGGCCAACATTGCACATCTTTCAGGTAACTTTGTTGTAGCACTTTAAATAAGTTCTAGGAAAAAAGTTCAAATCTAACAAATCTAGTTAACTTGGCATACAGTGGACATTAATCAACTGAAAAAATGTATCCCCGCCACAAGGTTGTCAAGTTTTCTATCATTAAATTAAATTAAGCCATAAAAAAATGCATATAGTTTGAAGTCTAATCCACAACTTTCACGGACTTTGTTACATTAAAAGCTAAGTGTAAATGAGTTACAAATGTAAAAATAAAATTAAGACTTCGTGCTTACCTTGCACAAATTCTCAACCTCTGCAGAAATAATGCAAAAGACATCAAACCCAAGTGTTTGTAAACATTTTCGGACCCTCTGCGAATGAAAAGAAGAATTTGTCAATCAAACCTAGATGAGGCAAAATAATGATGATCTTTTCTGCTATTGGCAACTTTTTATTCTTGTCAGAAACATCGTTCATCCTGCTATTTTAAAATTAGCAGTTCCCACCCATCTGGCATGCTTCCGTTATTCTCATAGTTAACTTTATTTGCTGCATATCCCCCTGTTACGTTTACTTTCGAAAATGACTTACCAGACTTATTCCAATTTAAACATATTTGGAATAAGTTTATAAAACTCAATAGTAAAGCTAAAATTTTTGACAATGATATGGACAAAGAGTGAATAATATCTAAATCAGGGGGCTTTCCAGTCATTTTGTCAAATATGCCAGGACACCGTGAATATTACATTTGACTATAATACATTTTGCTTCTTGCTTAACATTTCAACCATTATGAGCAAATATAATCTTAGACGTTATTGTCATTGACAACAAGGCTTGTATATGCAAAATGCAAAGCACGCACGCACGGATGGAGGTAAGAAAAAGCAGGAGAGCCATGGAAAGAGAGAGAGATCTACCCTCCAAACTGCATCTCTTTTTGCTGTGCCCACTATGCATGGATGATGCGAGCAGAATATTATTTGAGCAGAAATACTTGGAGAAGTAGCAAGAGTTGCAGACGATATCACAATTAAAGCCTTCACTAATACTTCAACCGATGGAAGAAAAGAAACTTGAGTGTCCAATGAATTATCTGTGTCACTACAGAGAAATCAATTTAGGAGGAGAGGATAGAAACCTTTGGACAAACCACCAAAAGAAAAGAGCGCCCAAAGAAACTACAAGTCAACAATCAGAGAAATCTAAAAGAGAAAGAGGCGGAAAGGGCGCAATCAGTTAAAACAACTGGACACATTCAGAATATGCCATAAATACCTAAAGGAAAAAAACCACATGAAAGGTAAAGAGTCATCAGCTAAAAATTTACCTTGTTTTTGAAACAGACAGTCTCTCTCTAACTACTGAAAGAAAACTAGTGAACTCAGTTAAAAGTGCTTCAGATAATTGTGGGACAGAAGTAATTATCCTTTTGATAGCATCATGTGACACTTTTCGAATCTCCCAACTTGGATGGCATATTAAGAAGACCATTAACTGCAGCCAATACATAATTAGTTACCATGTTTCCGAGGAAACAAATCCATTAAATGCTTTCAAGCAATACCTGTAACAGCAATTTCATTGAAAAAACTTCCAAAACTCTACACAAGAATGAATAGGGGAGCCAATTAGAACTTTCCTCATAATAAATAAATAAATTAATTAAATCTTGATGACAGCAAAATGGTGTAGTATAAATGAAACCACCTGCGTGAATGTTCCACTAGGAGCACTTCAAGAAGGTCAACACATGCCAAACAATCTTCAGTAGACAATTTTGAAGCCTGTATAAAGATGCAATTCATTTAAATAACAGACGGGCACAGGCACAAAACATGCACTGACAGACAAAGATCGTGAAAGAAGCTACCACAGAAGTTTGTACAAGTGAAGGTTCATTTTGAGAAATCAGAGACCAGATCTTTTCCTTTGCCATAGTCTCCTCTGGAAAACAAAATGAAGGAAAAAATCAGCTCAAAGCTAAACCAATAGGAAGCCAAAGTAGTATCATGCAGGAAAGAAATAGCAGATTCTGTTTCAAGTACAACATTTAAATATCTCTTATCAAGATATAAAACAGCAGCAAGTAGTAGGCACAAAAACCTGCTTTGATGTCAGCAGATGCAATCTTTGCAGCAATAAGCAAAGCATATACACCATCCAGGCGCTGAACTGCCTTAGTGAAACCAGTTTTGACTAATTGTATGAGAGGCCCAAGCAAAGAGGATATCTGAGGTGCACGATTCGCCAGTTTCACTTAAGTCACAAAACATGGAGACTAGTACGAAATGCAAAAGCTCAGATAAACATATATTGATTGGCTAAAGTTACCTGCAAAACAGCATCAGCATTTTTGCATATGACCCGTAGACAACGAAGATGCCCCCTTCTCAAAATTTCCTTCTCCTTAAGACCAGAAGCAATAAAAGAAACCATATCTGTCTGAACAGCATCGGCAGATCGTGCTGCCCAAGAAGAAATAGCACACAAAATTGCAAGCTTTACTTCTTCATTTCCTGTAAATTTGAATGGCCGTCACAAATTAGAACCAAATATGACGCGCCCTCTCAAAATTTTCTTCTTCCTTAGAGACCCAGAAGCAATAAAAAAACCATATCTGTCTGAAACAGCATTTTTGGCAGATCGTGCTGCCCAAGAAGAAAATAGCACACAAAATTGCAAAGCTTTACTTCTTTCATTTCGCTGTAAATTTGAATGGGGCCGTCACAAATTAGAACCAAAATAGTGACGCGGGGAGGGGGGGGGGGGGGGGGGGTTGAAGCAAGAGAATGGAAAACGTATGCATCAATAAACACGGAAGCAGCTATTGAGTGGTGGAATATCGAACAACATTACCACTCATCTTTGTAGGCAAGACAAAAGACACCCACATATTTTAATGGACAGACTGCTAAATATTCTTCAGGAGCATATGGACATCTCATTTGAAGGAGCATTGAACATGCCAATTCTCTGGATATATATATAGGGGGGTTGAAGCAAGAGAATGGAAAACGTATGCATCAATAAACAGAAGCAGCTTGAATATTATTAATATCAGAACACATTACCCTCATCTTTGTAGCAAGACAAAAGGAACCCACATATTTTACATGACAGACTGCTTAAATATTTTCCTTCAGGAGCATATGACAACTCTTGAAGAGCATTGAACATGCCAATTCTCTGGTAAGGAAACTGAAGTCTTCCCTCTGAGCCTGACGACATTGAAAATGTAAGTTGGCAGAATCTCAACCAATTATTTATTAATAGAAGATCAAAATTGTAATGTTATAATCCACTGTGAAAAACCATAAAGAGCAAGCACAAACCTCCAATTACAGCTTTAACAACACCAAACATTGCCTCTAAAGCATCAGGGTTACTCGACTTTTGGCTCAAAGAACGAACTACAGCCAATGCCCCAAGTCTTCTACTTTCATCTGTGTGTCGAGCCTGTGACAATACTACAGAAAGAAGTTCACTCGCATACTTGCTCAAATCAAGTTCAACTAATTTCAAAAGAATTCCCACTGATTCCAACACAATCTCAGGGTTGCGCTTTAACATTTTTACTGAAGATGGAACCACAATATTTTGAAAATCTTCATGCAACAAATGCATAAAAAGTGGACGGAAAGATTCACTAAGCCCTGCTGGAGGCTTTTCTTTGGCATTTAAAACTGCCTTAACATATAAATCAAGAAAAATTGGCTGCACAGAACAAAAAAAAATTATGTCAAGACTTCAAGGCTAAGAAGCAAAATGTTCGCTATGTAATAAAAAGAACCATTACCATCCAACAGTCCCATATCATGTAAGCAATATCTCTACTAGCACAGGATGTGAAAATATAACCTTAAATTGTTCAAAAGAAGGTGATGCAATTGAAAACTCCAGCAACAGCGACATTAATTCTGGACTATCCTTGTAGGGAATCCGTAAATCCTTTAAGTCATCCATGTAGATTTTGTATATGTCCGGTGACTGATAAAGTACGAAAAACATTGGATCATTAGATTGACAAATATCAGCCAATTCAGTAGTGTAACCTCCCCGAAAACAAGCAAAAATAAATAGGGCTAAACCTGTGAAAATAAATGAAAAAATAATTTATTGCAAGCCCTTTTCTCCCGAAAAGATCTCTGAATAACAATATGAAGCAGAGATGCCTGGACTGCAGAAACCCTGCACACTGCATTCTTTGAAACTGCAGCAAACTGACTCTTGCTTAACAGAAGACATGACCACTTGAGAAGTCTGTAGCAGCCCACATGGGAATGGAACTTTGACTGCCTTTCCATGGTCTGAACAAGGGTTGCAGCAAAACTTTTCATGAATGTGATTTCACCTAAAGCTTTTGCGATCACATCATCAACTGCTTTCCTTGATCTAAGATCCCCATATATAGCCAATGTTTTAAAAATTATATCTACCAACAATGACACAAGCTCAGGAGACATCTCTGTGCAGAATAAAATTGCAAAAGTTAGACAACCGGATATTAACATTACAAAAGTTGTGCAACAATGCAGCTTTGAATAACAACCCTAGCACCTCCCGAGCATGTTTGGAGAATGCAGAGTTCAGGATGTCCTTCTTCAAAATAACAAAGAACAATAAAATAGACCTAACCAGATTATCAACTGATGCATATAAGCATCATAGTATTAACCTTGTGGCAGACGTAAATGAGGGCAAAAGAAGGTCACATTAACATTGCCCACATAAATTTTACACTTGAATTTCTCTCACCAAACATATGTAAAATCACTCTCCAACTTATCACATCATCTGAAAATAGAGACTATTACAAGCAGAAGAGGTAAAGTCTTCTGGATGCACTGCACGCTTAAACTCAACTGCTAAGGTCATGTTCAGTTGTGAGAAAACCAGGCATGCTTTCTATGAAATGATTTCAAGAAACATGAAAACTAGATACGTGTTAGGTTGTGAAAATATTTAAATGGGGAGTTAGAAATCCGATTTCTGATTTTGCAAATCAACTCTAGCTTTTTCCCCTTTTCCTTATAACAATTCCAGTCGAAATCAAGATGACATCAGCAGTGGCCAAATAAGTTGCCCTACCAAACAAAATCGTTGCCTGAAATGGCTTCAATTCATGCACCCACGAATTGGTCTGCTTGGAGCTAGTATATTTTCTTTTCTATTAGTTATTTATTTCTTTACGTTTTGTGCGTGTCTATCTATTTATTTTAAAATCATTTCTAAGCGGACAGGGACGTAATTCAGAATGCACAGAAACTTTAAATTGGATATAATTATGCACTATCCACTATGCTCCTGTGTAAAAACTGAAGGAATGTGCATCAATTTTACTATTTTTCGAAATAAAGCCAACCAAGCTACACAGACATGGAAAAGCTTCTCTCAAACTGCATTATATGATCTTGTATCTCAAACAAATTAGCTAGAAATTGCTCAGATGGTAGTTACAAGTGAGTTTTAGATACTGAAAGAGGGCATAGAAAACCGTATAATAATCAATGCATAAGCAAAAATCTTCGACTTCAAACATTTCCAACTATAATTCTGTAATAAAATGAACTCGCAATACACATAATTCGTCTTGTTTCCATGGCCTTTGAGCTAACTTAATAGTTAGAATGTCATATTAACTTGGTTTGCTTCCATTAACAATGAATGGCTAGCTCCATATACAAAATCAAGAGAATATGAGAATGGTACTAGCCTGAATTGTTGAGAATCGAAGGGATATCATCGCGGAAGATCCGGACCCGTTTCTTGGTGGATGGAGTGGAGACGGAAGCGGCGATGGAAATGAGGGAATCCGCCATTTGAAACGGGGAGGTCCGGATTATGGATCCGAGTAAAAACTTCAAGCTCCGGCAACGGAAATGGAGAGTAGGTGATGCATATAGCAATCCAGATGAAAGGAAAGTACGTTTTAAAATTTGATTAGGGTTTTAGAAGCTGAACTGAACTGAACTGACTGAAGAGACTATGAGTACATGTTATTGTTGATGCTTGAAAACTAAAAGAAATTTCCTATCACAAATAGTGGGCTTTAAGACTTCCATGGATTTAGTTTACGGTCCATGGACCGTCTTATTGAGCTTTCCTCTCTCTATGTAAAATCTGGTTCAGGCCCATGTAGAAATCACTCTTGGGCCAGGAGTGTGCAAATCGTTTTATCGATTTCATCGGTTGGATTCTACTTTCGATTTTGACTCGTTTCTATCCTTAATTTGGTTTTATTTTAAATTTTAAGCCCATTTATTTCCAAAAATAATTTATTTAAAAAATATTTTCATATTTTCTGATATTTGAGCCCTCAGAAAAATCAGTTAATTTCTTGATTAAAGATAAAACTAAATCATTTTAAAGGATTTCATCCTTGAAATAATGAAACATATTTCAAAATATGATATATTTATTATTACATCTAATCCATAATATTTGTCATATTTTGAATTTTACTTTCCCTTAAGATAATCGTTAAATTGATCAAAGTTACAATAGATTATTGAATGAATTGATTATAATACTCTTGATTTAATTCTAATTCTTTAGAAAAATCATTAAATTGGAGTAATAATTATTGATCATATACAAAAAGTAAATATGAAAAAAAAAAAGATTTATTACCCATTGAAACCACAAATGTTATAAATATTTTGGAATAAAATATTTTCTCAAATGTAATAAATATTATAGAATGGAGATAATACAATCTTACAAATTTTACATTTTTATTAATCAATAATTATCAGTAGCCACCATCACCATTAGTTATCACAATTCGCCATCAGCGATGTCAATTTATTATTTTTTATTCATTTTTCTCATAATCAATAATAAATTTTTTAAACAGCGTAACATTTTTATAATAAAAAATATTTTTAGGGTTTGTAAATTGACATTTTTAATTTTTAACTAATTTTTAATATTATAACCACATAGCGAAAAATAAATTATTTTAAAATTTTCAAAAAATTAATTTTGTTGAAAAACATTTTTTAAAATAAGTTTTTTTTTGAAAGAAATAAAAGCTTTAAAGTTTTCAATCTAACATAATGATTGAAATAATTTAACTGAACAAAAAAAATTATTTTTCTTATTAAAATTAAAAAAAACCACGCAAATATTTTAAATGAAATAAAATCGAAATTACATCAAATATCTTAATAATTAAATTGAATTAATCAATTAAAATCGAAATCACATCAATATCTTAAAAATTAAACCGAACTAATTATTTATGCCTTTCTTTTTTTTTTTTCTTATTCCCATTTAGATCTGTGGGACGAGCTTTTTTCTTTTGTTTTTTATTTTTTATTTTTATATAAAGAAAAGCTTTATCCTGCTCGTCCAAAGCAATTGCTGTATACAATAGAGCTGTACCATAGGGAGTGACTCTTTGTTTTCTTAAAAACATATATATCTTTATAATTGACCTCGAGACCTTTCCAGAAAAAGTTCCAAATTTTAATAATGTCCTTTATGTTTATTCAATAATATAATGACAAATCTTAACATTTATTGCTATTTTCTTCCCAATAAGATTGGAGCTTGAAATTCATGCTCCAAAATACTTCAGTAATTACTACAGATGTTTAATAATCAAGGAGTCTTTTCAAACATAAATTAGGATATTTTTTTCTGTTTTTACGTATATTCCGATATGTATTTTGTTGGATTTAATTTTCTATTGTGGGCTTAATATGTAAAATTAAATATATACAGCAGTCCAATTGTAAAGTCAATTTTAAATGTGGTCTTGATTTTCTTTTTCGTATTATTCCGATATGTATTTTGTTGGTTTTAATTTTCATATTGTGGGCCTTTAATATGTTAAATTAAATATTATACAGCAGTCCAATTGTAAAAGTCAATTTTAAATGTGGATCATTGATTTAGGAATAATTGACTATTGAACGGTATCATAATTAATTAGAATTAAGTTGTAGACGGACCATTATATAATGTCCTATTTCTTTCTTAAAGGACCGAATGGACATTTGTACTAACCTACACGTTAACTATAAAGGTCGTGGATCCCAGAGGAGTGAATACGATTTCAGTTTATAACGTTCCTTCGTATTGATTCCGCTAATCGATTCTTCAAATCTTCTGAAGGCGGCAACCTAATTCTACAATCAAGATCGGACAAACAACGATGTCAGGTACAACAACGATGTCAGGTACGCAACCTTTTTCTTATTCAATCTATTTTGTTGAATCTAGTGATTTGCACGATCTAGGTTATTGTGGAATTATTTGAGATTAATTATTAACATATTTCACGCTTTCGTTTATGTATGTGTTCATCTAAACGTATATCGATAAAGAATATTTTCTTTTTATTATCATTATTTTCTTTTGATATTCACAGTGAAGATATTTTTCAGATATATTTTTTAAAATAATACATAATATGCTAATTGTTGACAACTGGAGTACACATTCTCATAAATTGGCTGCAGGCTTGACAGACCTTGAGCTGACTGAGGATGTAGAATTCTGATATAATCCTTCCTGATAAGTTCTATACAACAAGACCACAGTGGCTTTCTCTAACACCGACTTATCTATTTTCTTGTTATTTTACTCGCAAACCAATTAACCCTTATCCACCATCAAAGGCCAAGACCCTTTAAAGTTTCTCGGCAGAGTCTAAAGAAAAAAAAAAAAAAAAAAAAAAAAAAAAAGAAAATTTGGAAAACCGCAATCAGTTTATTTGAAAAGTCATAAAATAAAGGAAAAACTTTCTTAGGGAAATTAAAAATAGCCAAGAAGGAAATTAAAAAAAAAAAAAAAAAAAAAGAAAATTGGAAAACCCAATCAGTTATGAAAAGTCATAAATAAAGGAAAACTTTCTTGGGAAAGAAAAATAGCAAAAGGAAATTAAGCTCCTTCAAGCAAAAGGAAATTAAGGAATTCCCGACAGGTGTGTTTTTGACTATTGCTACTTGTCCCTTTACATATCCAAACCAAGCACAATCACCTCGCTATGGCTTTACACGTGTCAAAAACCCAGTTAATCTGTACAGAGAACTCCATTACCGGTTTTGCTTACTTGGCATTAAGACAATGACACGTCTCTAATATCTCAACATTATATTATCAACCAGAACACTTCACATCACCATAAACCCCTGCAGAGTGAGAAAGGAATCAGGAAAAGAGAAAATTTATAGTTATAGTTATATCCATGGAAAAAGAAGCAAATGAAAAGAAACCCTGCATGAGAAGATCAAGAAAAGGGTGCATGAAAGGGAAAGGAGGACCAGAAAATGCACTATGTACTTACAGAGGAGTAAGGCAGAGAACATGGGGAAAATGGGTTGCTGAAATAAGAGAACCAAATAGAGGTAATAGAATTTGGTTAGGTACTTTCAATACGTCAGATGAAGCAGCTAGGGCTTATGATCAAGCTGCCCTTAAACTTTATGGCTCTTCTGCTACCCTAAACTTGCCACAGTACTGCTTTAACCTACCAATAGGTACTGCTAGTAACAGCAATATTAGTGCCGGTACATGTCAAAATGTTATTGGCAGCTCTAATAATGAAGAAATTAGCAGTTCATGTGCTAGTATGTGTCAAGATCTTATTGGAAGCTGTAGTAGTGAAGTAATTACTGGCGGGGCAAGGAATTCTAATACATGTGCAATTGGTTGTGAGAGTTGTTCAAGTTCTTCATGTTTAATTGGAGGATTAGGGGATAATGATTTTTACTGGCCTCAAGATGAGTTGGACATTGAGAATCATTTCATGGATAATACTTTTTTTGGAGGTGCTGGAATCGGTGGAGGTACTGGAATCGGTGGAGATGGGTTCAGCTGGGATGGATCTGGAAATACATGGGGAGGTGCATGGGGCTTTTGATTTAGGATAGCATATACCAAACCAATCCGTGGAAAAATTTTTCAGATACTGTTACTGTTGTCAAGAGTTGAAATGGTAGGATAGAAGTTCTTGGTTTTAAGTTCTCCATGATCTGCCTAATAATAGATCTAGATTAACCAGGTTAATGCAGTTAGGACATTGGATGGTTAAAAATCAAAATAAAAAAATCTCGTATGATCAGAAGAACTATTATGCTGAAAGGAGGTTACTCTATTTATTCATTAAACTTTTTTTGGCGTTAGTAATATTATGGGAAACTTACAGAAATAGTCACTCCAATGTACATTTATTATCAATAAGATTGTGTAATATTAATTTGTTATTTTTTCATCGTTGAACTCTAATGTTCGTCCAAATCAAGATATGTTTGCATACGATAATTTCAAATGATAGAATTTTAATTTTGTTTAAGTTCAAATATTTTGGACGAGAATAATTTTTCTTTTATTAACTAATGATTCATAAATATAACTAAAAACAAAATTGTAACTTAGGAATTGTATTTAAATAAAAAGGTGAATGGATGAAGTTTCTATTAGCAACTGTTTTTATTTAATCAAACTTGCGTGATTAGAGTATAAAATGTTAGTATAATGAAAGACTTTTAAAACAATTAATAGTTATTAAAACATGTAATAATTATAATTAATCTTATTAAATAGTGAAATTAATTAAATATAAAATTTAAATTGTTATATTTTGGGATGTATTGGTTCTTTTTTTGGAAAGAGCAACGAATTCGCTGGCTGACAGCTTGATTTGTAAATTAATTGCGGGCGTATCAGGTCTGTGAAATAGACCAATTGAGGAATTAGAGTGCGTTTAATCTGACTTCTAGGCTGTGGATTAGATCCACGGTAAACGTTTCATCGGTTGTGCAATTAAAATAAATTTGAGTAAAGGAAATTATAAAGAGAGTCTGATAGTTTGAAAAAGTAAAAATGAATTTGATTACTTGAATTGAAATGAAAACTTGTAATTGCAGGAAACATAAATAAACCGTGCTTAGGAAAAAATAAAGACAATGCTCTGAAAACAAAATTGCTTGACTGTTGGAGAATTTGATTTGATTTGTTAAATTCATCAGAGAATTTGGTTAGACCTATATTGTGGTTCCCTTGCTCCTTTTATAAGCTTCACATGTGATTACCAAAATGATCAACTACATACGTTCCCATTAAGTCCTTTGGTGTCCCACCTTCATGTACATGAACAGCTGCTTGAGGAATGCTTGCTCAACTGGAGATCACTAATCCTTTATCTCTTCCAATTAATTAATCAATTAATAACTCAAAACAACATCAATTGGGTCTCAATTAATTAAACATCTAAGTCCAAAACCAAAAAATCACGAAATGGATTCAACAGAATATCAATTAACTTAATATGTTGAATATTCAATGAGATCGAGTTCAATGATTTGAGTAGGATGAATACATGGGTTCCGAACGGATATAATTATAAATATGCATTTTAGATTATGATTTAAATCTAATAGAATGTTATGAATCTTTACTTTTCTTATTCTTAGAAATGAAGAAATATATATATTTTTTTTAATTTTTAAACGGATTTGTACATTAAATATGCGATTGTAATTGCGTGGATACTCAATCCGCTATCATTTTAATTATATATATATTTTTTTTCATTAAAACTATTATATATATTTTTTTTCATTAAAACTATTATAAATCTATCACTAATTTAATGAAAGTCTTTTATACGAAAATGATTATGTTCTTCACAATGTTATTTCGGTTTGGAGTTTTATAAATAATTTTAAAAGAAAAAACCTAGGGTAATGGCATGTATTCATATACATTGCACACGGGCTTGGTCGGAGCAAATTGGATGCAACTTTCCACTCAAATCCAGCCCATCATCATAGTATATATAAATATATAACAAGTCCTCAAATTATTTTCTATCTATAGTACGGTGATTCATCAATTAAATATTGATGAATTTAAAAATGACGAATTGAAGAATATAATGAGTGTATATATGATCCGACACTAAATTCAGATTCAAATGCCCATTTCTTATAAAAAAAAAAAAGTGTAGATAAATATTTTTTTAAAAATAAATTTAAGAATACAATACCCTCGAATTAACCTATATTAAGAAATTACCTTTAAATACTAAGACCATAACCATAAATCAAACTTTGATCAATAAGGAATTCACACAAATTAATCCTTGAAAATAAGCAATACTCTAATTTTATGAATTCCTATGTTCTTGTATTCCATCTAATTTTATATGATATAGCTTGACCACCAAATGTCCATTTGAAAGCAAACCGCGAGGCTATAAAGAAACATTAGATTATAGTAAACTAAATATTAATATTTTTACTAATAGGGAAATTTAGTGATAAGAATTAGGTTTTAATCTACGGATATACTCTCATGTATTTACATAATTGAGCTAGTTCGAATCGCTCCTACTTCTTTTTCCCTCTCCCCTCCCAATAAAAATTCAATCCTTGCCGAAATAATTATTCAATAGTGAATAGGATAATTTAGCCTCAACCAATATCACTTATATGCCTTCTATATTTGTTATTCCTAATAAATATGGATCAACAATCGGCAGGATCACTAATTCAGACCAAATCGATGTTTTTTATCTCAATTTTTAACAGAAGATTGTCGAAGAAATGAAAAGTTAATTGAAAGATATGCGAGTTGGCATCAAAGTGGCCATTACTATAGCCTACAGGGAATTGAAGAGCCTGAAAATATTGGCTATTTAATAATGGCGTGCCCAGTTTTGGGACTGTGTTGTATGTGGATGTGCTTTGTACAGTTGGTTTGCTTCTCCTTATATGTCATTTTGTTTCAATAGTTTTGTTGTTGAAGTAGTTGCAATATTAATTCTCATACAGCTCATGGTACTTCCTATTAGGCATCAGCTCTGATACCAGTTGTTGGGTATCAGCTCTGATACCACTCTTGTTAGGCCCTTTCAACCAATTAAGAGAAAATTAACGCAGCGGAAATTGTGACACACAGAATTTACGTGGTTCAACTACGTGGTTCACCCTCAACTGTTTAGGGCTACGTCCACGGGACAAAATCCGAATCATTCTTCTACTATTAAAATAGTAGGTACACAACGAGAGTAATACAAAAATAGTGACACTCAAAGTGTTTCCCAAAAACACTCCATAATAATTTCCTCACGATTTTTCTCTCCCCTAAGTTTAGGAAACCCATCCTAAAATTAGAAAACTCTCTCGCTACATTTTCTCTCTTCTTTCTTCTGTGGTGTTCTGCCTCTGCCTCTATTTATAGGCAGGTTAATGCGTTTAATGAGCCGTGTACAACTTATTCAAGTTACCGCCCATGTACACCAATTCAAAGCCATCACTGTTGAACTGGCTGCTCTATTTCTTTCTTACTTTCACACATAACACATTTTGCAGCCAACTTTACTTCCTTCCGTTTTTAACTTTAGTTCGTGGGTCCCACTTGAGTGGGCACACAACCACAACACTTCCATTTTGTAACATAAACATTATAACATGCATCTTAATTTAACAAAAGTATAAAAAATAAAACAGCCAATTAGATTTAAGCTATGGTGCATGGAAACATACAGGAGAACCGTGTAAATGCAAAAATATACGGAAACAACATTTAAAATATAATACTCATTCCGTCACATTTTGTTTGCATGATTTGACAAAACACACATATTAAGTATTTATTCAATAAAAGTTATTTTGCTCTTTTTTACCCATAACTCATTAAGATATTAATAAAAGTATTTCATTTAATGAGCAATTATAAAAGTTATTATGTGAAAAATAATTATTTACATATCTAAATTTATAAACATTGCAAATATTTTGGGACATAAAAAAAAAGAACAACAAGCAAACAAAATGAAACAGATAGAGTATTACATAAAAAAAATAGTAAGAAAACAGTATTTTATATTAAAAAAAGTGCACAGAAAAATATTTTTGAAACACGAAAAATGTCCATGGCTAGAAATTTCTTGCATATCATAAGATTTAAGAATACAATTCTCGAACTTAGAATTCTTCTTGTGAATTATTATTTAATCCCTCAACTACATTCAAGTACGTTCGTCAATACTTTTATTTTCGTTAGTACGTCTTACTTTAGTGTATTATTTAATTTTTATACATTCACCGTTAGTCGGACTGATTAAATAGTAAGCAAGACAAAATTGTGGGACTATACAATTAAAATTTGATAACAATGGTTATTGACTAGTATTTTGAGTACAACCAAAGTATTAAATACTAATTCATTTTCTTAGGCGCTTTTTTTTTAAAAAAAAATTATTGGAGGTCTTTATTGGACGAAATAATATTATGGATTATACAATCGGAGAAGCCCTCCCTTTGACTTATTAAATTGGTGAAAACAACTCTCCACTTCTCGCATAAGTGAGAAAATCAAATCTTAGGCGCTTTTTACAAGTCATCTAACTAGCACCTGCATTTATTAGAGAAAATATTTTTTTGGATACATGAGAGGTCCAACGGATCAGAACAACATTGTGAGTTGTACAACAGGGGACAGTATTTCTCTTTAAATAACATTTATTAAATTGACGATGACTTCGGCGATACCATTCGGTCATTAAATCTGTTAGAGGAGGTAAAAATACCAATCATATCATAATTGATTGACTTATTATGGAAATTTTAATATCAATAAAAAAAGGATTGAATAGTATAATAGAAACATAAGAACAACGGATTGTATAATTATGTTATGAAAATAACGATCATCATTTGTGTATTAGGGTATAAGGGAGAGGATAAATAATAATTCACTCTTATCACTATAATGAATTTCTTTTAATAAAATAAAACTATATTTAATAAAATAATAAAATATAATGTAATATAATAAAATATACTGTTTTTGATTTATATTGTACTTAATTTCATTACGACTTACAAAATATATATAAAACTTTATTCAGTGAATTGGAATTTAATATAATGTAATCAAATACATTTACAGTGCATTCGATAACATCATATTATATTCAATTATGATTTGACAAAATAAAGCTTAAGATTATATAAAAAATAAAATAAAATTGACGGCTAATTATAATGAATGTCGTAATACTATAAATATAGGGAGGAGAAACCCTATAAATAAAAAGAAGAATATTTTAATAGTATTGCCAAACATTCATAGTAGCATTATCGTTATAGAAATATGCAAATCTTTATTTCATATTTATGTTTTATTTTATTTTAATGAAATTTTCACCTCCCTTTATTAAAAGAAAAGGAAGACATCTATAGTAGTGTTATTAAAAAATTTTTATTAGAGGATTTTCATGCATCAAGAGCATTAAATTTTTATCTTTTCATAACAAGTATATTTTTAATATTAAATGCATTGTTTGTTGTACTATCCTTTTATAACTCGCAACATTTATGTCTATTGCGCGCACTTGATTGTCGACACATAAAAATAAAAATAAAAATTCAAAAATTTGTGGATCCTAATTGAAAGATGTCTAATTTCTGATATATATATATAAAGAAATTATTATTTTGGTCTTGAACCTTGATGAGTTCATAATTGTTTTAGTGGGGACAAAATTGGAAGTAGATGGCATATAACTCTACCCTATTAATGTTGGTCACATGGCTTCTTGGTCTCCATGCTTCCCTGTATGCTCCTTCTCAATCTGTGTTAGGGAAAGATCAGAACCATATATATGTACTTCACTAGTTATGGTATGGTGTTTTTTGTTTTTTCCTTTCCTTTTTACAAACTGTAGCAGCAATTAAAGAGTGTGCTTATTTGAACCAAATCCTTCCATGCATGTAGAGTTTGTCATCCAACCTTGTTTTTTAATTATCTACCTATTTCATTTTAAATTTTATAATCATTATGAACATAATTTTTAAGACTAATATTATAAACTCAATTTCAATCAAATGTTTAAATGCAATAACTAGCCTTGTAAATTGAAATGCAATCTGTTTTGAGTGGGGGGAAAAAAAATCCAACATATCTCTTGATTCTACCTAAAATTTAAAGCTGCATTGAAGGCAATTAAATAAACGGTGAGTCATGCAACTATAACTACTAGTACTAGTAAGTAGCAAGTCAAAAGATTAAAAGTGGACTTGCCTTTCATCCTCATGTGTTCATGTAATTTTGTAGTATTTGTATTTTGTTTTTTAATTTTTTTAATAAGGATGACAACATTTAAGAAGTACATTTCATTCCCCTCCCCGATACTTAAAAAAAAGAAATAGACTTGATATACTCCATAAGTTCAAAAAAAGAAAAAGAATTGAAACGGATGGAACGAATTGAAACAGACAATAGTCAATCCCAAAATATTGTTTCAGATAATAGGAAAAATGGAAACAAGAAGAAAAACATTGTTGATGATGTTAAAAATTCTATAACCACAATGCTTTTAGCTGAGATGCAACAAGGTAATGTAAATAAGCGCAGTTATGAAAAGCTGCTGCCACATCCAATATTTCTGTGAAGACAGTTTATAAAATTTTACGAAATGCAAAGCTTCATCCAAAGAATAACTCTAGTGCCATAAAATGTCCATGGAATAGGGATAGAAAAAGAGTTCAATTCATAGATTAAAGAATAAAAGAAATTCATCTTAGACGTCGTATGACAATCCGCTCTTTAGCCGTCGTCACTACTCTCTTCTTTTTCTGTCTCAGACTCAATTCGTTCCTCTTCCTCTTCTGTAGAGTCAACATCTTCCTCAATCACTTTTTTCTTGTCATGTGGAGGGTCCTCAATCACTTTTCTCTTCTTATGTGGAGGGTTTTTTTGGAGTGACGTGTGTTGACGTTTGTGGACATACTTCTTTGAGACTCTCCTTTATTTTCATTGTGCTTTTTTTTTTCACCCATGTGATCAAAGGGCGATTTTGTAGATTTTTTTTTCCTAATTTTTTCTTCTTCGAAATAGGGTTTGAGGAGAGTATGTGTTTTTGTTTAGTTATTTTTTATTTTTTGGCTTTCGCGGTCATTTTCATGATCAACGATTTCATATATAGACATCGATCGATGCTAATGAGAAGGCACGGGGCGGCGGTTGTGAAAATGAGAGGATTGTGAAGAGATGTATGAAGGCAGTTTTCAAACGTTGTGTCTCTCATTGTTTTGATACCCTTATTTGAAGAGGGGAAAGAAAAAAAAGGGTGCATAATCATACAAACACACACTATCGTATATAAGAAAACATAATGTTGATAGATAGAGATAATAAAATGAGCATACATTTGTAAGTTGAGCACATTTAAATGACTTAGACTCTTGTAGATGAAATATATATTTGTCCAACTTATTTTTAATATGAGCACATCTGTTAACTTTCAATAGTTTACAATTCTGTGATAAAATAACTGTTCACTTTTACTTTGCAAAGACAAGGGCATTAAATATCCAATCTTTTTTTCTGTCACTTTCTCTTGCTAACCGTGCACAATTAATACAGGGGCTCAAATTAAATGAGAGTATTTTAAACTTTGAACATTTGCATCCTTCGAAAGTTTATATTTTAAGTAAATTTCTCTAAATAAAAAAAAAAACAGAGGGAGTAGTAAGTTTTTAAAATAAAATATTAATTCAATAAGACTTAGAAATTTTATTAACTTCATAAAACAACCGTTAGCATTGATTAATGTTGTATTGCTAATCATACCATGATTATTAGTGATTAATGTTGAAATAATTGGTAAAGAAAACGATAAAGTTTCATTAATGGCGTGATTAAGCAAATTAATTATAGTTTGGTGGCCACTTCAATTCTAATTAATGGACCGAATAATAGTCTCGTTACCTACATTACTTTTTAAGGTAAAAGCAATTATGTGTGTGAAGTCCTTCTTAAGGTAAAAGCAGTTAAAAAAATAAAAACTAATGATTCCACTATTCAATCCTACAATTACTAGCATGGGATCATACGCACTTAACACTGAATCAAGCAATTTTGAATTATTTGCTATAGAAAACTTCAAATTTATAGTAACCATTCCAACATTTTTGGGTTTTTTCTTAATAGAAATATTATACATCATTTTCTAATTGGGCCACAAGGTATAATGTTTTTTTTTATATGCAATAATATTCAATTAAAACAAAAGAGAGACATCAAGATCTTAAAGTGACAAAGTGCTTATGTGAATTAAATAGAAAAGCAAGCAATAAACTAGGCTCTACCAATTTTCCTCATAAAATCAGCTGATAATAATGCTTTTGTTGCTGATGTTGATTGGAGCATTTATGTTAGATTTAGCACCATATTACATTATAATTATCACCAATTGAAAATGAAGTGCTCTCTTTTCTTTATCCTTCATGTTTGTGAAAAAACAATTAGACAATCAAATCATCAACATCATTTTTGTCATATCATTTACTTATAGATGCAGCTAAATTAAACAAAGCTTTCAAATTAAATGTTATATATATATATATATATATATTCAAATAATGTTATCTACATGAATATATATATAATATAAACTCATAAAATGATATACCGCCATGTTGTTTTATTATAAACTATTTTATTTTTTAATCTTTATATATATATATATATATATATAACTCATAGAAAATGATAACCCCATGTTGTTTATATAACATACTATTTTTATTTTTTTATCTTTATTAATTAAGCTTTAACTCAGATTCAAACTCGAAAAATCTTGTAATCTTAAAAATTACTCAAGTGAAATTAAATCAGAACTTATTTTAATACAATTTCATGAAATCTCTACATATCAACTCTCCATGGAAAATCTTTTATAAAAGTTATTTCAAATCTTTTTCTCGACCTAACATTTACTTTACATTTATATTGATTAAAGTGGATATTGAAAATAAATTATTCATATAACCCATTTCAATTAGTTTGTAACTAAAATTTAGTTGTTTGTATTCTTTTTTAATATTTAATATATGTACATGAATTCTGATAGTTATATATGAAACGTAAGCCCTAATTACCAAAGCAACAGATTGTCTGGGAAGAAAAACGTTGGACATGGTTTTTTTTTACATTTTTTTATTAAAAAAAAATTCTACAAGATAACTCTTCATTAACTGATCAGAACTAACTTGTACTAAAATCTACAACTTGTTACCTTTCTATACTTATTATGGCTGCCTTAGCTAGCACCTCTAGTGGTAGAAGTAGCCATTAATGTGCAGCCAATTGCAAAAGCTCACTGCGTCACCTTTATATGTAGCCAGCTTTATTCACATTGTCTTGACATCCAGAAAACAGTGTCAATAGCACTTAAACCCCATTGAGCCTTTTCTAGGGTTTCTTGGAAATATATCCCAAAATGGGCAGCTTTTCAAATTTCTCTGTAATATCTGTGCTGCTAGTTCTTTCACTAGTAAGTGTTGCTTCTCTGGCTGAAGCTAGGGCTTTTTTTGTGTTCGGTGATTCATTGGTTGATAATGGCAATAACAACTACCTTGCCACCACTGCTCGTGCCGATGCCCCCCCCTATGGCATCGATTATCCGACTCATCAACCCACTGGCCGTTTCTCTAATGGCCTTAACATTCCCGACCTTATCAGTACGATTTCAATTTTAATGTTTGTGTCGATTTCAATTTTAATATGTGTGTGTGTTTATGTAATATGAGTATATTTCTTTTTTTCTGCAATAATTTGATTTTCTTTATTTCTGTGCGGTTTAAGGTGAGGCAATTGGCTCAGAAGCCACATTACCATACTTAAGTCCAGCTCTCACAGGACAAAGATTACTTGTTGGTGCCAATTTTGCTTCTGCTGGAATTGGTATACTTAATGACACTGGCATTCAATTTGTAAGTCCATTTTAAGTTCAATATCTTGGTTCTTAATTATGTATTTAATCTTAAAATTTGAACCCTGGACTTTAAACACGTATTCTGATAATTGTGATTGTACTTTCTCAGATCAATATAATCCGAATTTACAAGCAATTGGAATATTTTCAACAATATCAACAAAGGGTTAGTGCTCTAATCGGACCTGATCAAACAGAAAGACTAGTGAACGAAGCACTTGTTCTTATTACACTTGGTGGTAATGACTTTGTCAACAACTACTACTTGGTGCCTTTCTCTGCTAGATCTCGCCAATTCTCCCTTCCAGATTATGTTGTCTATATCATTTCCGAGTATCGGAAAGTTCTACAGGTACAATTCAGTCGTTATTCTTTCTTTTTTTTCCCTTGTTTTTAATAAAAATTTTCCAGAATGCATTTCAAAGAAAGAAAATATTGAGCTAATGATACTGAAATAATCTTTGAGACAGTGAGATTGTAAGTACAAATCCTTATGTTTATTATAATCTAACTAACCTTACCCAAAAGATAATAAAGTGGGGACACATATTTATGCTCAATTTGCAAGAGGTAGATACGTTTTGCAGGTTGCATTAAGTACTTCACAGGGCATACTTTATTGATATGTAATTTTCTCATTAAAGCCTTTTCCTTCAGATCCATCAACAACGCGTAAATGATAAATCTACACATAACTCTTCTTTATGGCACCTTAAGTCACATTAATTAAATTAGTTTGTTATTTGCATTAATTAGTTAGTTGGAAAATTAAGGTCTAGTTGTCTAATATATCAATTTCATTTTCTTTTTTGTGCACTTTTCAAATAATTATGTTTTGCAACAGAGATTATATGAACTGGGTGCACGAAGAGTTCTGGTGACCGGAACTGGACCCATAGGTTGTGTTCCGGCTGAATTAGCTCAGAGAAGTAGAAATGGAGAATGTTCTGTTGAATTGCAAAGAGCAGCTGGTCTATTCAATCCACAACTTGTGGAACTGATAAATGGACTTAATAGTGAAATTGGAGCAGATGTTTTCGTAGCTGCGAATGCATATCAAATGAATATGGATTTCGTTAGCAATCCCCAAGCATATGGTATTTTTTCAAAATCTTAACAATTTCAATTTTTTTTAATTTTTCATGGATATTCATAATTTATTTAAGCATGAGACTACTCTCGTTCTAAACCTCGTTTTAATAATTTAAATTAAATAAATATCATTGGGGAACAAAATGACCAACAGGCAAACAACATTAAATGTTGGGAAATCTGTGGACCATTTAAATGAAATAAATGCAATATTGTGTATGATTTCCTATTCATAAAGGCCCCAAGTAATTGGTCCCTTGACATGGCAAATTAGTATTTATGATGCTAAGAATGGAAAATGTCCAAATTTAGTGAATCAATTTTGTTTATACTACAAAGAAAAAATATATTTAAATTATTATTACAACAAATATATTAATTTTTAATAATATTAACAGTATAGTATAATAATTCACTGTTATATCTTTTCGCAGGATTCGTTACATCGAAAGTTGCTTGTTGTGGACAAGGGCCTTACAATGGAATTGGATTATGCACTATAGCATCCAATTTGTGCCCTAATAGAGACATTTATGCATTTTGGGATCCATTCCATCCATCTGAGAGAGCAAATAGAATCATTGTTCAACAAATTTTAACTGGGGACAACAAATATATGAACCCAATGAATCTCAGCACCATCATGGCCTTAGATTCTAGGACTTAAAAATATAATATTTTGTGCTATGCATATGGCAATCTTATTCTTTATCATTTTTCCTTATTGGCTAGGTTTGGTATGGTTTGTTTGTTTTCCTATTTTTCTTTTTTTGGGGCAGGGCTTTTATCAAGTGTCATTAAATTTTAAGGAGTGATTATTTGTATGAAATTCATGATATATATGTGTTTAGCTATGGATAAACATTATTTGTTACTCAATAAATTGAATATTATATGTAATATATAGTATTAATGGTTGCAATTGTACTTTTGTTAAGTGTAACATTAATTTATTAATTAATAGTAATAAAGCCATGTGCGCACGTACAAATTGCATATATCTTGTAAAATCCTTTAATGCTCTTTATGTTCTACTTTAATAGTAACATTGGATATTTTTATAGAAATTAAGAAAATAATTGAAATATATTGATTTTTTAAAAATATATAGTAGAATGTCTAAATTGCCCTTTTTAAAATTAAAAGCTTATCGTCTAATTTTGTTATAGAACACCTAATAAATATAGGTAAAATTAAAAAAAAAAATAATATACTCTCAAAATCCTATATAAACACTTAAAGTGGAATAAGATAAAATGTTCATTTGTTTATTAAAGTGTAACGGTATTTTGTGATGTTAGTCAATTTTTGACAGCCATAGCCTTAACATTCTTGCATTTGTAAATGTTATGATTTATTTATGGACAGTAGAGTAAAATAAATTAAAAAATTTACTGGTGAAAATATTATTTGTTTATTTTCAAATTTCAGAAAATTTGGTTGAATTTGATATTGGTTTATCATTAAATTTAATTATTTTTATTTTATTCGACTTTAAATAATAAAAAAACTAAAATTAACAAAATGCAATTAAAATCCATGATTCTCTTATAATTATTTATTTAATGACCTAAGAAAAATTTTTCATATTTTTTTAAAAATATAATTTTATTATGTAGATGGTAAAATAAAGGTTGAAAAAATGAGGTGTCTAAATTTTGCCAATGTCTGATTTGTATTTTCATGATCTATAAAAAAGACGAAGAGTCAAAAATTATCATCAATTTAGTTAATATCATTAAAAGACGATGGATCTACTATATAATTCTCAGTAATCGATCACCTATTGTAAATAGATAAATAAAAGTGTACGGTTGAGAACCAATTTATAGATGACATGGCAATGTAAACATGACATCAATGAGTCATGTCATTGTAACCCAACTGTTACGCTAATAATAAATCCAATGGACCGCTTAGTGTACCACAAACTCTCTAAATACTGTTTTCAAATTAATTGTGAATAACTTCTAACGAATTCCTTTTAGGTGTTAGGTATAAGTGTCGATTTTTAAAATCCAAAATAAGAAAAGTACTGTGACTATAGAAAACTTGAATTTAATACTTTCCAATCATTTCACCTATATCGATTGAGATAATTTATTATTTATTTACTTTTGTTTAATAAATTTATAAAAATAAATTAAAAAATATAATATTTTTCAATAAAAAAATAAGTATATTTGGATTAGTGGTAGAACTTTATCCTGTAGGGTTGCCATAAAAAAATGTATATTTATTTTATAAAATTTTTAATTTTCTATTTAAAGAAACCCACAGTTGTTTGCATTTCGTTAAATATTTGATTTCATTCACTAAATGTGACTGTCTTGAGGTTTAACTCGACTCGATAGAATTTATAGGACTCAATTGATAAAACCACTATAAGTTTAGGGACCTATATAAGATTTCTCCCTCGCAAACTAGGCCCTATTCTGGCAACCACTGACAAGAAGGACCTATGAACTAAACCCAAATATCAATCATCCTATAAAACAGTTCATGTATCATTAAATCTAACAGCCCACATAAACATGGGCCATACTTCAGGTTCAGCCCAATACTTGCTGAGCCGATTCTCTATAAGATTTTTTTTTTTTTTAAGAAAAAATTGCTAGCTAATTTTCCAAAAAAAAAAAAAAAAAAAAATTTTTTTAAGAAAATAATTGCTAGCTAATTTTCCAAAAAAAAAAAAAAAAAAACTATATTGCAATAAAAAAACATAAATTAAAATTTGTCTGTTACCCATCACCATCAATTTCATAACTATAATTACGAGTGTTTCAAATCGGGTTACTGGACCCGATTTGACAGCAAAACGTCCCTTTTTTGGGTTGAAAAACCTGCATTCACATGGTCATGGAATTCTCTTTCAGAAAATAAATTAAGATTCATATCTGGTTGTCTGTTTTTTATTTGATTAGCTCCAACTATTATCACAGTTCTTTACCGTGGTTAAAAGTATATCCACAGTCTATCATATTTTACACTTAATTTAATAAAGTTTCACTATTTTATTTATTTTATTAGTTTTAATCACTAAATTTTAATTTTTATTTAATGAAAAATGCAATGACTTCAAATACTAGCATAGCTTTTAAAATAAATTATTTAATTAAAATAAAATGAAATCATATATACTTTTCGATTTACATTAAAATGAGTTCAATTGTATGAATTTTATTGGATAAAATAGGAAGAAACATAATTTTATCCTATTTAATATTTTCTTTTGATTTAACTTTACAAAATAAATTTACCACGTAGACTTGTTGAAGACCTATTTTATCATTGATTGCCGACAATCCTATTAACATTGCTGGGAATCAAATAATGCCACACGATCACAAATTACTGTATGAGATTTGCTATAATAACACTCCTGTAATTTGTGGATTTATGGCACGATTAAGTTAAATATAATATTATGAATTCAATTACATGAATGAAAAATAAGATTTTATCTATTATCACTCAAATAATAATACAATAAGATTTTATTTTTATTTTGAGAATTTATGAGAATATTACTCTAATCTAAACGTGGAAACAAGAATACGAGCAGGAAAAGCGATAAAGAAATTATATTTTTTAAAATCTATTAATTAAGCCTTCTTCGATAAATTTGGCTGTTTCAATAGCTATCAACTGTTTTAACATTTCATTAAACGTTAAAAAAAATAACATTTTATAATACGTTCTTTCAAACTATAAACATTAGTATAAGTGAATATATAAAATATATTTTGATCTTATTAAAATGTTAAATGCTATATGAAAATCTTTTGCGGATCAAAAAACAGGAATTATATATAATATTTGATCTTATAAAATGTTTAAATGCTATATGAAATAAATCTTTTTTGCGGATCAAAAAACAAGAATTAAATATCATATATATATAATATTTATATATATAATAAGATAAAGATATTCTTTTCTTATGAAATCATTTTGCTTCTATTGAAACTATCATATATTAAGATAAAGATATTTTTTCTTTATGAATCATTTGCTCTATTGAATACTATCTAGAAGGCTATGCCAACCCAATTATTATAGCCTTGAGTTGCTAATATTTATATAGTAAATACATAGTAGGCCATATGAAGCTTTATGTGCATGAAAAAACAGGTCGGAAAAAATAGTACTTACTTGAATTAAATTGAAAACATAGTGGGTAAAGGTTGTTGAACCGTTTCCCCAACAATGCTTAATTGAGTTGCATCTATGGAGAAGTAGGTGGCATTATAAATTCATCTATAAATTATTAATGGCAACCCACCACATTTTATAGATATATAATAAAATATCATTACTCGAAAATATAAAGTTTCGGATAAAAAATTCTTAACAACAGGTAAAAAGTCTATAAAAAGAGAAAAAACACAACAAAAAAAATCACTGAAAAAGAACTAAAAACTCTAAGATCACGCAATAATAATAAAACAAATACAAAATTTGTTATAAATGTATTACCGAAAAAAAAAAAAAACAAAATAATAAAAGAAACTATCACTCAATAAAAATGATAGTTGACGGTCATTTAAAGCATGAAATCTAAAAGAATATTAAATGAGAGAAAGCAAAAGACTCAGTACGTCGATTAGGTTTAATAATACTATTTAAAAATATAAATTGAAAATTAGATTTATCATTTTTCTAATTAAAATTTTTATTATATTATAGAATATCTCGTTACCAATAGCGAAATAAACACTTCTCCATGAATTAATAATCCTATATTTCATCGAAGAAGTTTTTTTTTTAAGGAAAATCATTGGAAGATTGAAGAGGAGCTATTAGATAATGTGGAGGAGAGGACCCGGCCCATTCCCAAATATCAAAGAAAAAGGTGGGCTATTGTTTAAGAATATATATAATAAATTGACACAAAAAATATCTTGAAATTGAAAACATATGTTCATTTAGCAGAGACAGCCATTTGCACTTTGTTCTAATTAGACACGTGCCACATGGTCACCACCTCTTAGGGGGTCAACGCCCGCTTGCGGTGCCCAGGTTCTTTAATCATTTACATGTTATGAATTTATGACTACGTACAATTTGTAATCGTTTCCTAATTAAATATTGATTCCGTTCCATGATATTTAATATATTTAAAAAAATTTTAAAATATTTATGGTTTTAATAAATAATAATTTATTTTTTTATATTTATTTTTTATATATGATCAATAATTATTACTTTAATTTAAGAATTTTTTAAAAAAATTAATATTAAATTAAGGGTAATCATGTGCATTTACTCAATAATTTATTATAATTTAAATAAATTTAATATATTTCTTAAATGACGTGGAATTTCAAATGTGACAAATACTGTGAAACAGAGACAATATTCATAACATTTGAGTATTTCGCATTTTTTAAGAAAAAAATCATTCAATTTATAACTTTATTACAGTAAATTATTGAGTGCAAGTACTGCTATTCTAATTGATAATTTGAATGACAATCACGGCTGAAATGTATAATGGGTAAAAATCAAAAAAATAATTTATTATTTGTGTCCACAAATGTGATAAATGTGTCCACAAATTTATTATTTTTCAAAGTAATAAGTATTGGCAGCAGAAAGAGTAATTGAATGTCCCTTATTATGCTCAAACCGTTAATTTTAAAGATTTTTTTTTTCACTTTAAGTACTATTTTTTAAAATTCAAAAAAAAAAAAAATCATTGCATTTTACCTTTTTATCCTTATATATAGAATCACACTGACTAAAAGAAATGTTTGAATTTGGAAAAGTGAATGGATATTAAGGTAGTTAAAAAAAAAAAAATTATAAAATTAAGGTTAACTTATCATTTTTATTTTCTCACGTGAAAAAACTTAAATTAACAAATTGAGTATATGTAACATAACCCGCTACTTTATATTTTATTATATTACGATTCACGAATT